CGAGCTTACAGTCTACAGGAGGTGGGGTATAAAACACATTAGGACAGGAAATATCAATCAAACAAGGTGGAAGTGAAGCAGAGCTGGAGGAGAGAGTAAAATTCGGACCTTTAGGAGAGAGAGAGAGACAGGTATGTAGAGGTAGAGGTTACTGGGAGGCCATAAGCTTTCCTAAAGAGATGGGTTTTATGGCACTTCTTAAACGATTGAAGACTAGGGGAGAGTCTGATGGCAGTAGGCAGGCTATTACATAGGAAGGGAGCTGTCCGCGAGAAGTCCTGCAAGCGTGAGTTGGCTGTACGGGTGTGAGCAGCGGACAGGAGAAGGTCACGGGCAGAGTGGAGAGACCGAGAAGGGGCATACCTATGGCTCTGTGAGGAGATATAAGAGGGTATATAACCAATGAGCTCAGTCCTGCACTCCCTGGCTTTGCTTATACATAGTGCTTCCAGCTCTCTGGCTTATGTAGTAGAGGCATGGATGGATGCTTGTTCTGAAATAGTTCAACTGCTTGGTGCTTGAAGTGGGTTTCTGTTAACTCAGAGGAACAATAGATGGTGAATGCCATGCTAAAAAGAGTTTACAATCTAAAGGAAGTGGGGTAAAATTATTATTATTATTTAATTTCCATTAAAATGGGTTTCTGTGAAAATAACTGCTAGGCCATCATTAAGTATAACTTCTTGATTGCCAAGTTATACATATCTTGTTTCTTTGATGTATTTTATTTCCTATTCACAAATATGAGTGAAGCAGGCGATTCTAGCTTTTCATTAAGTGCTCTTGTTATTCTGAGTTTTCTGTGGGAATTAATTTAAAAAGTCATAGAGACCTAACAATCTAAAGGGTTTCCCCGAGCACCATAACCACTTCTGTGATTTTAAATGGTTATGGTCCTGGAGTCCGTATGTGTAGGATTTGGTCACTGTACATACAGAGTTTAACCACTTGGCTACCAGACGTATAACTCCACTCACTCACAGGCTTTCCAGTGCAGCACATTGAGATATTGCCTGAGAAAAGAACTAGGGGACCCCAATCCCCTAGCAAAGCCCCATTAAAATGTTATGACCCTGTCTTCTCTCCCCCTGCCCTAATATAAGTGAGAGGGAGGTATTAAAACTAATACATGTGAAATGAAAAATTTTACTTATTAGCAGAAGTCTTCTTCTAGCAGAATGATAACTTGCTAATGTGCATCCTACTGTACGCATTCAGTTCAAAATTTTATTAAAGGGACACACCAGACCCCTAAAGCACTTTAGCTTGCTGAAGTACTTTATATGTGAAGAGTGTGTCCTCATTCATTTTACAAAAAGTGCAGCTTCCAATAGATATTGGCACAATTATTAATAAATCTTGCTATGTTTCCATTTGGGCTGATAGGGCCTACAATTTGACATTCACATTGTATCACTGTCAGATCACACTGCAATAGATAACTCTGTTAGAAAACACACAGCAGCTTGTTCTGACAATGGTAAGTATGGCTTTATATATTTCCTTAAATGTGAGGGATATTAAACAGCAGAAATGTGAGAGTTGGAATAGAAGACATAGTGATACAATTGTTAAATACCATTTTGGTGTATTCTACTTAATTTATCAATGTCTGATTTTTTTTCACAATGCTGGGGTGTTTTCTTAAAGGGACACTATAGTCACCTGAACAACTTTAGCTTAATGAAGCAGTTTTGCCCCTGCAGCCTCACTGCTCAATCCTCTGCCATTTAGGAGTTAAATCCCTTTGTTTATGAACCCTAGTCACACCTCCCTGCATGTGACTTGAACAGCCTTCCACAAACACTTCCTGTAAAGAGAGCCCTATTTAGGCTTTCTTTATTGCAAGTTCTGTTTAATTAAGATTTTCTTATCCCCTGCTATCTTAATAGCTTGCTAGAACCTGCAAGAGCCTCCTGTATGTGATTAAAGTTCAATTTAGAGATTGAGATACAATTATTTAAGGTAAATTACATCTGTTTGAAAGTGAAACCAGTTTTTTTTTCATGCAGGCTCTGTCAATCATCTGCCAGGGGAGGTGTGGCTAGGGCTGCATAAACAGAAACAAAGTGATTTAACTCCTAAATGACAATGAATTGAGCAGTGAAATTGCAGGGGAATGATCTATACAAGGGTTAGGCAACCTACGGCACTAGTGCCATGCACGGAACTCAAGGTGTATTTGCACAGCACTCCAGGCTGCTAGAGCCAAACACGCTCTGGCCTATCAGGAGTCCCAGTAAAACTTCATATCTGCTAATACGAAGAGGTGGCGAAGGACAATCCTCAATTTAAGCATTGCAATACATAGAGGAAGTGATCCCAGCAATGAATGGGAATCCACACTGTTGCAGCTCCTGTCCTTGACCTGTATCTGGCCAGCCTGGTCCCCACTGGAACCCAGGGAAGCCACACACACTGCTAGATGTACACAGAAATGCAGAATAACCCTCCCCTCATACAAATAATACAAACAGCCCACACACAAACATACACACAATCCACACAAATGCAACACCACTGACAATCCACATATGCAGCCTCTCACATGCAATACCCCAAACAGCCCCCACACACTACCAAACACACAATGTGACATATCCATCCACACACAATTCCACAAGCTGCCCCCATACACAGTCTACATTCATATGTATCATACACAATACCATAAACTACTAATGAACATATACAATATAATAGCTTATACACGCACAAATACAACGATACAAAGCAACTGCAATAAAAATAACACAAGCAGAATACAGCAACATACACACCTCAATTTAAAAAAATAGGACCGGCACGCTACAGGACATCGCCATTCTCTATCGGCACAGTGCTGCTAAAAGATTGCCTACCCCTGATCTATACACTAAAACTGCTTTATTTAGCTAAAGTAATTTAGGTGACTATAGTGTTCCTTTAAGCTATATGCATCGCTTTCTTTTATATGCTTATGAGTCAATACATTTTCCCCAGATGCTTGTGGATATAAACAGTTATTTTCCCAACCATGTCTTGGTTACTGGGGGATTTGTGGAAAAAGCATTATGTTAAGCCCCCCCACCTTCTTGTAAATAGGGGTCTTATAAACTAATGGTAAAATTCATTATTATTTGATTTGGCAAATATGGCATTTAGTATCTGGTCTTTTAAAATGTGCTTGTTTTAATACAGTGTCTGGCCTTTTCCATGAATGTATATAAGTATATGTATATGTAGCTTGACATTTGATCAGGTATTACATTCTGAGCAATTCCTTATCTAGTCAGTTTGGGCCATTTCAGACACAATAACAATCATTTTCGAATAGTGACCAATGTTTATCTATTTTAAGTTGGATATCTTCAGTGATGTAATAATGATATACTCAGATATACACACATCACAGACTTCCCTAGCAAAGTCAAGGGAGGTACTACATAGGATAAATTTCCATTTAATAAAAGCATATTAATCAGTCTCAAAAAAATATTTAAAAAAAAATGTGTAGAAATAAAAATAAAACAAAGGCATTGAGTCCATACGTCATAGTTGTCTTAAAATGATTATTATAATACATTATAAGAACTGGTGTACCATCCCCATATTAAATTCCATAACTTAGGGCACAGGAGCACGTTTAATGTATTGTCCAGTTTTATCCAATAATGAATGAGCAGCCCTATTGCTTTACAGCAGCCATTGCACAACAACGCGAGATGCTTTTATAACACTACACTCAGGATTCCAAGACGTTGCTAGGCAACACGCTATGCTACAATGTAGCTGCAGTGACAGGATTGTTCTATGTCATCCTGATACTAGGGCGCTTCATACTTAAAGCACTATTTAAATAGGAATTAATGCAATAATAGGAGTATGGCAGAGTTAACTGTTCTCCTGCCAGACGATGTCATAAAAAGATTAATATATCTAAGTTTACTATATCTATAAGCATCACCCTATTATATATATATTCGCCTATATGGTATGTAATTCACATATATTTTATACTAATTAAATAATTTTATATAAATGTTGTGCACCATAATACCCCATTTACAGTGACACCGGTTCAACATACAGAGAATTAAGCTATAGTACCATGACAGTGCAGGAGGTAAGTTCAAGTGCTATAAACTTAATGTTCATCCCATCAATTTATTTCACACTAATTAATATTATTATCTAAACTGTGTTGCCTTTGAGTTTGTTTCTGAAATCTTTTTTTCTGACACTTACATTGCAAGTATCTATTTTTTAAATTTAGTCCAAAGAAACTAGCCCTAAAATCATCAAAAAACGTATTTTCCTATTATATTTTTAATCATTCCATATACTATATATCTAAATATAACACGCTTACATGTGTTCTTATATACATTTATTATTCTTTTTCTTCTCAATTAACATTTTCAAATACTACTAGGCTGAAAAGCAATAATGAGGGGAGGGGGTCTTCCAAAAAATAAACATTGACTCCTGGGTACCACTAAATAAAAATAAGAAAAGACTGAGTTTTAAATAGAAGTACTTTCTATACAGGTGTGATTGAAATGTGTTTAGTCGAAATGCATTCAGCACGCAGTAATTTCATTGTACCCACAGTGTGTTTAATATATAAACCTCTAATCAATAGACAGCTGATCAGATATTAAGTGAGAGCTAACTGCATTTGTACACCCACACCTAAGCACTGTGACGTCTCTTATGAGGTCATTAATGTCAAAGGGTTATGTTCAGTAACATTGCCTATTGTGTCCAAAGCCACTTCATTATTACAGAGTCAGCCAGTAAATTCTACCCCCCAAGGTTTGTTCAAGGTCACAGTGTGACCTCCGACTAACCAAATGTGAACAGACACACACTTTTCATTTATTGTAAGAGTTTTACATTTAAGAGTGGTAAAAAAAACTACTACAAACAAAACATAACACACAAACTACAAACAACATCAAGCATTGTAGAAGCAATATAAATGTAAATGATAACAGCATAATAAAACTAATATCTTACCTAGTCTGTTTATGTATGTGAGCAGGCAGGGCGGTCAAGTTCATGTAGAAAATTTCGGACATTCGTCCTTCTTTGTTTTTCTTATCAATTAGATTTGAAGTTTAGGGAGATTTCCTCTGGATTTGGGAAGTTTACAAATTGAGGCAGATTTGAGTACATATAATGGTGGGGTGCCTTCTTCAGAGCCTCCTACAGATATTGGACAGTGATCTACTACAGTGAAATATGTTTGTAGAAGAGGGGTTTTTTTGAGAGCTAATACTAGGAAGGGAGGTTGTTAAGTTTGCACTCAGACAGCTAAACAGTGCCAAGTACAGAATAGGGAATAAAGACCAATTGTTAGAGGTAAACAAAGGAGGCTTAGAGACTGAGCTGGGATTCCTGAGCAAAGCTTGGAAACTTGGACTTGAACTGAAGTTTACTCCTGTGTGTGTCTCACCGCGAAAAATAAAGTGTTTCTTATGTTCTGCCAGTAACCATTAAAATCATGACATTTCTTGGCCATTGAGAGATGTTGCTAAGAGAGTGATCACAGAACATTGAAGTTCTTTTTAATAAACAGATCGTTAGAGAAAAAAATCTACAAAAAACTTCTATTTGTCTGTCTGTCTGCGTTTGTCGTTTGTGTGTGTGTGACATTATTTTAAGCTGACAATCTCTTGATTTTTATTTTTTTCTCTCCTGTATCGGTTAACTCATTCCTAGTCCACATTATTCTGCATGTGTAACCCCTGCTGGGGTTTGCAGAAGGTCTGTCTCCTGAGGGCTGTTGTCATGACTAATGTTTTGATTTGGAGGGTAGGGGATTGTCTAAGGTTGGGGGATTCCTCACTTCAGTTTTTTTTTTTTTTTTATTCGAGCAAGCTGCTGAGTTTTCTCACAGTCTGGATCCCAGACACGATTCTCTTCAGGTCCCCTGTCTGCCCAGCCAATGCTATACTATTCAGCACTTAATTAAACGCTAATGGCAGCTGTGAATGAGCTCAGCCTAGACATCTTTTCTCACACATTTTTCATGCAAATTTGCTAAACTCCAAACAAATTTGAATAAATCGCCCTTTGTGTGCCCACTCCATAGACGTATCTTGTGGGTTTTTTTTCTTTCGATGCCATTATGTCTGTTTTTAACAGACCACAAATTTCAGTTTGCAACCACAAAAGTGCTCAATTGTTACCAGTCAAAAGCTCAGCCAAAAGGATAGAAAACAAGTCTCGGATTGAACCTTTTGTGTGTCTTCATCTATTTCTCAACATTTATAGACGGTCTCTATGTACTATTGTGATATGCTTGTGACTAATTTTATTATGACGTCTGAAACACAATGTGTGTTGATGTGTAAACATGTCATTTGTAAATACAATTGTGCAGTCTGATCACTGGATATAGTATAATTCAGTTTTCAATATTCATATGGCACTGGTGTGGAGTGATTGTGATGGCTGACTTTCAGTAACTTCCATTGACTATCATAGATTACAATTCCACTGTAGTTGTAGTAATATAAGGCACTATTCACTAAACTGTGATTTCTGGTAAAAAAAATAAGACAAACCCTAATATTTGGACAAAACATCAATTTCGAAGTAAGTATAGATTTATTTATCCCACGATGCCCTTTCACTACACCTATTACTGGACACTTCAAAACTAAAAAGTCCCTTTAAAACTAATCACAGCTTAGACAATAGATAATTAGCCTTGTTAGTTTTTTTTCCAACTCAAGGATTCTGAGATAGATTTTAAGTTTTTAAGTCTTTTAGAACTCATGTCAACACCGATATTTAGTGAATTTGATACATTGCACGTTGAAATGACCTATTTCTCCAAATAAGTTATGGTAAGTTGTAGATAGTGTGTAAATATAATAACTCTTTTTACTGTAACTATAGGTCTAAATTTGCAATACTTATTACTATACCCTGATATTATTTTATTTTTGGGGAAAATGAAGCAGTTAAGATGCTGATAAAATAGTGATTTAGAAAATAATTGTATGTCAAATTATTTTCATCTGAGAAAGAGGTCATTCTAATGATTTTTATCCCATGCTAATTTGAATTCTTGCAGAATTGCTGGGATTCATATTTAATATGTTAGCAGCGAATGCTGGTGGTTAATATGGAGTTGAAGCTATATCTGAACGTACTCAGGCTAATTGATCTATTAATACAACCACATTGAAATCTTGGAATAATACACTATTTATTTTACCTTGAAATTCGGTACACAATAATGCATGCCATTTATAGCCCCCACAGGAAACCCATTACTGGAGGGATGCCAAAGGAACCTTGTGCTACTCGCCTTTGTCACGTTAGGAGCTGCCAAAGAAGAGACTTGTCCCTTAGTGGGAGTCTGGGAGGAAGTTTGCTAAACAACCATTCCATTTTATATGCTCTTAAACTTCCCTTGTAACAATAGCCATTGCTTCTAGACTGACATGTTTACACCTTGTTATTTTCCACAAGGATAAAGGGAACATGGATTATATATATATATAAAAAAAAAAAAAAACCTTTCTGGTGATGTTTTCAATAGGCCTTGGTCAAAACACACATTATTGTATGACTTTGGGGTAAGCTATTGCAGCCATTGTGACACCTTGTATTATACTGGAAGGTGATTCTATGGGAGGGGGGGGGTTGAGGGGAATGGGGAGGGGGGGGAGGGCTAGTAAAGGAGTGAAACTATTTTACGATGTTATAAATTAACCTCTGAACATGTATCAATTATTGATTAACTCTATAATGAGAAACAGGGAATATGCTTTGAAAAGGTTTTTAATAATTGGCAAATATTGCAACAATTTTAATATTTCCCACTATAAACCAGACAACTTCAAATCTTGGCAATGGAATACAAATATAATGCTTAGAATGAGCATCAACAAGCTTTCATTGTTCTATTTATGTAGTATATAATAAAAATATCATAAAGTGTATTGACAATTGTTTTTCTTTTTTTTTACATTTTGATTGCAAGTCAGACATTACATTTTCTTCATATATTTCTAAAGAACACGATCACACAAAGGGGTAATTAATTAATGCACATCTTTATTTCAAGTTATAATAAATAATTACAAATCAATAATATAACAAACATTCTATAGTCTGAAGCTTGTGAAACAAAATCAAAAACACAAAATTTTGTGAACAATCAGATGTTACAGACACGGTCTTATTTTATTTTTTAATTATTTCTTCTTATGTTTTGCTGATTTTATTCAACTCTTGAGTAACAAAAAAAAGGAAAGTTATTCAAACTACAAAAATAACTTTATTTTTTATAAGAAATATATTTTTATAAGAAATATAAAATATAAAATTTGTGTGAACAGAATTTTAGTGGGTTTTTTTTAAATTAAAATAATGGAATACAATGGGTAAAAAGACATACATGCATTATTTCCATAATTGTGGTTTTATTCTAATAATGAAAAATACGATGAGCAGAGTAATGATCTTCATAAATCGTCTCTTTAATTTGTCTGTGATACAGGGAACAATATATTCATATGCTTAAGTTTTCTTATAACGCAAGTTTTCTTTTAATTATAATTTTTTTTATAAAATCCACAGATTTAGTCCTTCCTTAGCCAGAGACGTAGGTCACTGCATCATTCCTGGGACCTGTAAGAAAAAGATGGCCAACAATCAGTTATATTATTACTACTAACAAGTAAACACAAGCCATCATGAGCCAGAGTTGTGAACTATTCAATTAAGAGAACAAGGCAGATAATGTGCCCCTGGACAGGAATTGTCTAGGAGACATTTCAAGGACAGCACTTTCTCACCATGGATATGTTTTATCCCCTGCTAAATCCTTTCCCTCTGAGAATTTTATCACAATCTCCAAAGTCCGAATTTGTCTTGTGGACAGAGAGTGTGTGTCTGGCATCTGAAGACCCCCGGACATTAGGATTAGTCTGCATGTCACACTGACTACACAGAGCACTTTGTGATGTTTTAATCTTTATGTTAACTTTGTCAAGATTTAAACATCAGGGATTGGACCCCCTGCAGCAAGTATTGACCAGGACTTTCCTACAACCCAAATCCTGTGTTGTTATCTGCAGAATCCTCAGAGCAGGATTTAGGTTCAAATCAATCCTATTGTGTGTGTGTGTGTATATATATATATATATATATATATATATATTTGATTTTTTAAATCATTTACATAGTACTACAAATAATATAAATACAGAGCTCAGTCCTGGCTGCCCACGCCTAGATCTGATATTATATGAGGACATTAATTTTAAAGTTATAAACAGGTCAATGTCATGGGGAATCAAAACACACGCAAACACACATTTCCAAAAATGTTTACTAGATACGATACATTGTTTGTCTCTCATTAGAAAATGGGAATACAGGGGAGTTTGAAATAATCTGACAAATAAATTTCAGATCAAAATAGCCGATTTGGGAAGAAACTAAATTCTCATTCATCTAGTTGATATGTTTGTTAAAACTAGACTAATATTTGGCCTGGATGATGCAAATCGGTTGGATTTGCAAAGGAAAAAAAATATTCTGCCTTAAATGATGCTTCCCATACTGAAGACCTACAAAGGAGACAACTGGTGACTGATATGCATTAAAACAAATCCTGGACCAACATTCTAAATGTAGATGAATCACCATGGAAACCAAAACAGACTGTTCTTATGGATGTATCAACTTTTAGAATTTTGCCCCAGAATTTCTCTTTATATCTAAACCCATAACAACCAAATATATCAGACATATGTAAATCATATATTATTGCAAAGGATACATTTTAACCCCTTATGGTTGGGATATAAGACTTATTTCCCCAATCAGTATTCCTTATCATTTTTAACAACATCTAACATCCTACCATTGTAGGACAAGAAGATATTACACCATGGTATAGACTGCTTGCAAAATATTTAGGTTATCTGGCACATAACCTAGGCCCAGCCTGCAATACAGTGTAGTCCTATTTTTTCACATCATATTTTTTACTATGGGAAAACAATCAGCCTCTGAGAAAAATATTATCTGTGGGTTTATTGCATCCCTAGGAAATAGTAGGCACACATTTAATTTCCTAAGCTCTTACACATCTCTCCTTTTCTGACTAATAAAGATCTCTTTCTTTGCCTATTTCCTTTTCATTCACTTAGGGAGGTGTAGCTAACCCACCCCTTCTGTACACCCCATTGCCCATTTCACAAAATCATGGGGAGAAACTTTCTGGACAATTTAATCTCTCCAGGGTGTTACTTAGCTAAACCCCTTTCACTAGCAGCCCTTTCCCTCCCTCCTCCCTCCCCTCCCCCTTTCTCTCTCTCACTTATTTTCCTTCAAGTCTAGATTAAATTTTGCAGCCCCTGATATCTTTCTCTCTTGGGCAGACACATGCTGCTTATGTAAATTAGATGCTTTTTATACTCCCTCCTCATCTAAAACCCTCAGATTTAAATGTGTCCAAAAGCTGCTCTCTCCCCTGCTAACTCCTTAGTACAATTTCACCTCTATTCTTTAACAGGGGCCTAGTGAGGGAAGAACAATAATTTTTAAACTAATAACACGTGCTGCTTGGTTTGGATAATTGCTGGGAGTTAGCTTAACAGAAACCATACGATTTTCTTTATAACTACATAAAATAACAGATTGGATATTTACATCGCATATCCTCCCCAGCTAAGAAAATAAAATTTTATGATAACCTTGATGCAAACCGAGACAGACAGATAAATAGAATGTTTATTGTGCATATATATTTATCAAACATATTAATATATATTCAAAACTTTCCAAAAAATCTGAAATTACATAGGAATCCGTGGGGTATTATTAGACGCAGGGAAATAACGATTAGACATATAAATTGAAAGATCATAATATTTATAAGGTATTTGTGAAGATATAATATCACCGCAGCAACAAAAGAAATATCCTCTGGAGAAAAGGTGCAAATAAAATGAAAAAATCTTCCCAGATGCAAAGGCTGTGTGCATGGTCAAGTTGAAAAGACTATTTAGTCAGTTAAAGTGTGAGCAGAATTGTATGGAGCAGCCCAGACAGGCCTGCAGACTGGGCCTCCTTCATTTGAAAGACTTCTTGTAGACAATGACCTGGAGGTGTCCCTGTTTCATGGCACAGTTTATGCATGGTATGGTGTAAGAACAAATAGAGAGAGAAAAAGGAGGAGGAAAGCTTTTTTTTCCTCTCCCAAAGACACACAGGAATGTGTCAAAAGATGGAGAGAGAAAAAAGGCAAGAGGAGAAGAGTGGGAACATGAAGGCCCCTGACAAATGAATATCAAGTTTGCCCTTGAACCTCATTGGGCTTTGCTATTCCCAGGCCCCAGACAAGGGCTCAGGCATGTCTGAGCCCAGCTGCAGGGGAACTGGCCAATGGTTCATCTTAGACACGTTGACAGGTCAGACCTTTCTGTGAATATTTCAGGCCTGCCTAGCAGCTCCCCCAGCAACCAAGCAGAGAAGGAACCCAGGTCAAAGCCTTGTCTGTGATACACAGGGAAGCAGGCTGGAGACGTGTTACGGATGTGTAAAATGAGATGGAGATACCAGGACCCTTTTCAATTTTCTAAAATAAAAACCCTAGCACGGGAGTAGAGGCTGAACATAGCTTCTAATGTAACAAAGTGTAGGTGAATGTAAAAAAATGTATTTTAAAAAATCCATCTTTATGCACTTTTATCCCCTGAGACTATGTGTATCACAGAGGAATATTCATTACACTCTTTTTTCCAAGTCCCTAATGCATTCTGTTCCATAAATCCAAAGATTTTAGATGTGTAATTTGGCCATACTGCATCAAAACCATTAGTTTTTAGTCACTTGATGGTTCACCCGAGGTGTTGATTTTGAGGAGGGTTCTATTGATGGAGAACACGCTGTACACAGGCTTTCATATATTGGAAACTAAGTTTTCAGAAATCTTAAATTATAATGAATGACAAATCTGAATGATAGGCAGCACTGGCAGAACATAAAGTAGGACCTTAGCAAATTCTATAGTTGCAAATAATGGCCTGCCACATTATTTCACAGAGCCATCTTTGGCCACAGTGAGGACTGAGATTTTATGTGAATGTAGGTGCTTATTCAATAAACAGTAAGTTTAGGTGAACTGAAATTCCTCCCTGGTAAAATCAAGCCAATAAAACTGGGAATAAAAAACTTCCCAGATCTACCAGCATTCTGAATTGGTATATGTTACCTTCCAATTACAAATATCACTTTCCATTAAAGCATATGACACTGTTTAGTGAATATAATCCATGGAAGGATCCACCTGTGGCAAGATTCTACTAAACCGACCTGAACTTGGTGGCCCACGCAGTGCATACATTGGCACTGGAAAACAATTGAACTGCAAATGCAATTGAATTGTTGGTCCATTACCTCTTATGCATATGAGTTGGTAATGCTTGAATGTCACCTGGCTTCTACTAACAGAATAACTGTTATATAATTAGGGATCCGAAAACAGATCCCAACCATGTACGATTTAGTAGTTGCCATGAGCTGTGACCAAAAAGAGCATCATATTATAATTATCAAAAACAGTATCTGCCCGTTATTAGGTAAGAACCTGGACTAATTATCAGTTAGAAAACATATATAAATGGAAATATATTGCACATGGCAGAGTCTGTCTAGTGGGAATTTTTTTTATGTAAGTAATAATCTAAAAAGGATTGCTAAAGGGTAACCAGTTCTAGAATGATATACAGAACAATAACAGAGCCCTTTGAAAAGGAAACGTTTCACATTGTCTTCATGGCAATTCTGCTAACGTATCCATACTCAAAACATGTATTAACTCCCTACACCAGCCCTTGCTCAATGTAAGTAGACTAAAAATAGCTCTGTACCAAACACATGAAAAGGAAGCTAACATGAACACGTTTTATTAAGATATAAAACATGATCATAACATTCATTTGGAATACAACATCCACAACTAATATGTAATGTAGGCACTCATAGTTCCCAGAAATATTGCACGTTTGTAGATACGTAACACATACATTGTGCTATATTCATCGTATTGCATTACTTCATGTGGTTTCTGAAATATAATCGCAGAAATAGAAATTTAATTTTAATAAGCTACACTAAGTATTCCAAAAATATAAACGCAGATGGTGAAAAACCCTGCACGTGAGTATTTGTAAAGAGTAAGCTGATACTTTGGGTAGAGGAAATTCCCAAAATGCCAGCACAGTGTAAAACCAAGTGTTTCAATGTAATGTGTGCTTTGATGCCTTCTGCCTCATCCTTCAGCAGCTACTATTCAGCAGCACTGTACTTCTTATAGACTCATGTAAATTATCTCTCTAGGAGGCAGAGGGACTAAATGTAGCTCCAGATGATTAAGATATTCATAAGACCTGTAATGGAAGGCATAATTGTAGCCTACATGCTAGTATACTAGTTTTTAGATTGTGGTAAACATTTTTTAAACTGTTTTTTTCTTTATAGGTGAGAAGGTGTGTAAAGTAATTATATAGATGATTCCTTGTTCTGACACAGGGCTGACATTGCAGCTATACATTTATTTTCTTTTTTGGTCTGATATATTTAAAATACACTCTTTGTGTCCCACATAACTGTTCATATTTAGATTGTAAGCATGTGGGCAAGCCCTCAGAATCAGTCTGTTTCTGTTTGTCTAGGCTCCCAGGAATATAATAATAAAAAGGGGATATCTGTGTGTGTGTGTGTGTGTGTGTATATATATATATATATATATATATATTGTAACAGAACTGTCTGTATATGGATTACATTTATTTTCCCTCCATTCGTCTGTATGTTTGGTTTATTTCCCTGACTGTACAGTCCCTATGTGTTCCCCTGTTAAATTACCGAAAGCCGCACAAAGGCGCGACCACCGGGAAGCTAGCGTGTGCCGTCAATTGACCACCCAGTAGCTGCGGTTAACCGCAGCTTAATTGACTGTACTGGGTGGTCGCGGTTACACATAGCCGCCACCCGGTGGCGGTGTTATGGAGCTCCCCGGACAGCCAGCAGTGCTCAGCCCAGAAACAGTGCACTAAAAGCGGATACTTTTACGTGCAGGCACCGCTGAGCCTCCAGCCTTCCCTGCTTATATTTCGGTTGTTTAAATGAACGCTGGATTGATCGGGACTTTACTTAAGTGAATGTTTTAACCCAGATAGCTATGCCATGGAGCCTATTTGTGTAATTAAAGACTTTGGCTCCATGGCAATTGAACTGTATGTGTGTGATCTGAGCGCCATTCTGTAGTTATGTGCGCTTATGTATGGGGTTGGTGTAGTAAATGTAATATTATATGTTTTAATGTATTTTACTGTCTCTGTGTCCCCACGTGTATAATGGAGATTTGCCTCTGTCCTGGGAGATAATTGGATTACTTCCCAATTATCTCCAGGATAGAGGGAGGGAAATTAGGATGCATTGTGGGGATGTTTTACTTCTGTGTCTGAATGTGATACCTGTCTGTCTGTGTTACAGTCTTCCATCTGGTCCCCTAGGGGAGTGTCCACCAGGTGGGAGACCTGCATAAATACCGGGCAGGTTGCCCTCAATAAACCAGAATCCTGTTTTACCCTCAATACGGAGCTTGGTCTCGTGATTGAGGGGATTTACTGTGCGCGGTTAGAGACTGATTGCTGGGAATGTAAGCTGCTTGGATGCTGTGTGTGTTCGTCTGTTAGCAGCTATTCGTGAGATTACCGTTCAGGAGTTTGGAGTACTACTGGGTATAATGTTCGGGAGTTTGGAGCATTCCCTGGTTCCAGTTCGGGAGTTGGGGTTCTACAGTAGCTGTACCTGTACCTCCCCAAAAAGGGAAACTCTACTAAACGGCAGTTTAACCCCTTTATGCCGGGAGAGCCGTAACATATATATATATATAATAAACCCCACTTCTTCCAAGTGAAAGTTATCATACAGTCTACTGATCAAGTGCTTTATAAAGATTATTTATTAATAAACTCATCCATTGTACAGCACTGCTGAGTGTGTTGGTGCTTAAAAAAACGGCTACTGATAATAATGTTAATAATTTTAATAATAATAAAAAACACTGCTATTACAGATTGAGGTATCATATATTGGGCTATTTGTTTATCACAACACACCAAAGGAGGAGGAGGAAAATATATGCACATCTATTACATGTAGCACATCAATTATATTATTATCATTATTATTACATTATAATTATATAGTGGGAACTTATGACAGCAAATAACTGACAGGCATAATAACGTTGCTTAATAGTTATTCTACAAGAATTTCTACATTTGACGTACTAGTGATTGGTGCCCACTCCAGCAGAACCCTTCCTAATACCCAAACTTGGAGCTCCAAAACCACCCTGTTGTGATTTTTCCCGTGTTCTGCCCTCTGAGCAAATCCTTCTAAACCCTGGGAATTCTCTCCATGCTCAGCGATTTCATCAGAAAGAGATGCAGCAACATGCAAAGGATCAGACACCCGGCTTTAAACAGTGCTCAGCCTGGAATGTCTCTTCTCTCAGTGGCCCAAAGCTAACAGGCCTTTTCGGGATTGTAGCCCACATGAGCAGATTAACAAGGAGTCACAGCTGAGTTGAATGCATGAGCAACTCAAAATGTTATTCCAGCAGTCATTTTTATATTTGCGGGGGGATTGCACCGCTCCTTGTAATTTTAGCTGCACCCCTTTAGGAGTGTTAGTGTGGCTTGAGGGAGTTCTGGTACAGATGACACACTCCTCATGCTCTAGAACACAAACAGATTTATCCACTAAAGTAAGAACTGCCTGTAATACTAAGTGAATTGAAAGAGAATTTTAGACCAATACACCAATTAGAAATATTCTCAAAGTCAATTCTGTTTTCAGTCTGGCTAAAAGGCCTTAAATTGAAAATTCACTTTGGATTCCAGGCAGTGAAAGAGAGGGCAAGGGCCTGAACATGATGAAATGTGGATTGGAAGAAATGAGTGATATGACTTAACCGAGTGTACCTGTCAGGACATTTAAATAGGGTTAATCAATACTACTTAAGGGCTGGATGAGAAAGATGAGAATTGGTGCTGTAAGAGAAGGATGTTGTTTATTCCTTGCAACAATACCCCTATCAGGAATAACTATGTCCGATGTAGATCCATATCTGCTGTTTAACTTTAGCAGGTTCCACAATGAAACAACATTGGGCTTTGAATGTTTATACTCAACATGAATTCCTTGTAAAATCCCTCTCTGAGCTTTGATTCTGCTAAAGGTCTATGATGACTCAACACTACACATTAGCCATCTAAATGAAAAGCTATAAAATGTACTGGTTTTCAAACCTTCACTTCAATAAGAAGAGGTTACTTCCAGGTTCTAGATGCACCCTGGGGGGCTCTTAAATGAACATTGAGAAATCAACTAACCTTTGAAGTGAAGCCAGTTTAAAAATCTTGGTTCGAACCAATACTTTAGCTTTTCCCTAGCAACCAGCAAGGAGTAGAAATATCAACTAGAGCCAATTAGCTTAGAATTTCGCTGATAAGTGAGTCTAAAGCTAAAATCATTTGTGTGCGTGAGTGGTAAGGGTTCATACTATGGAACCCCTATAGAGCCTGGAAATACTCTCTTTTTAGCTTACCCAGTATGCGGGGGCAATTGGTCAATATACTGCAGAATATAGTACCCATTCCTATATCCCCTCAAAAGCCATGTAGACTATTAGGATATATTGGATATTTATCAATGTTGTGTGATCTAAAAGGTGATGCAAAGCTGTAAAAGAGGAATTATCACCAATGGAATTTGCCTGCTGGTTCTACTGGTTTCCATGGTGACTGTCCCCCCCGCTTTTAGAACTTTTCACCAGTTTACGTTTACAGATCATGACACTTTGATAAATCCCCTATGTAAATTTTTCTTTTGTAAATCTGATTTTATTGATGAAAGTTCAATAAAAGAGGAGACATAGAAAATGAGGCTCGCAGGCCTCCATGTAAAACGTGGTGGCATAACATATCATGCATTATACAGCAGTCCATAATATCCAACAAATTATTGCTATAGGTAACATTTGCGGCTTTAAGGTAATGCGTAATAAGATAGGCATAAGACATGACTAGTTTATATGTGGTGTGTAATTAGATGGTATGAGGGTGTTTTCCCACTGGTCAGATTCGGGATGGAACCCTATATGTATCCATTGGTTACACTTCATGTTCTTATCGCGACCTCCTGTGTGATTGTATACACCGCATTTAGTCATCCAGTGTGGATCCCGTGTTCCTATGCCATGGATCGGTTAAGTGGGGGGGGAGGTAATTGTAGTAGAGAGTAGAAATGAAAGGGGGGAGAAAGGTTTCGTAGGTCTAGAAGAGTCCTTCCTTGGGTTCCACTTTTCCTCCTCGTATCGGAGTGGGTGAGTAGTCGGTATGTGGTGTTCGGGAATTATCTAGTCGTTTTGTGGTGGATCATGCTGAGTGTGTAAGGTAATGTAGTTTAGACCGCTGTCAGGTTACTGTCTCCTGTTATAGGCATGTCAGGGGTCTGATTTAGTATGTTGTGTCAGTTCCCTGGTCGCCCGTCGGTGTGCTGTGTCCCGATCCCCTATGTAAATTAATGCACTTTGAAAGACACTTATTTTAACTACAACATCTCCAGTTGATATGTATCTTTAAGACTCTTGATATAGAAGACAAATGACTGCAATTCTAGGTCACATGGAATAGTCCTATTCCACGAAAGGTTAGTTGAGGAGAAAAAGTGAGCGGGACAGCCAAAAACAGGACAGCAGAAGAAACATAGCCCCCTATCACACCATGAGGAGTGCACCAGAAACAATAATGTACATTACTACAGGAATACATTAGAACATTAAAAGCATTATGGTTTACAGGATACACCCTCTTTAACTACACTTAGTGAAAAATCATAAGTACATGTATTGGCTGCGTCCATGGCATTTTATTCACCATCATATATATATATCACTTAAACTTTGCCTATGCCTTGTAAGGATAATTTTAAAATATGTTCTAATTTAAAAAAAGTAAATAAATAAAAGATTGTTAGCTGACCGTTATAACATTGTTAGACCAGGGCTAACCATAAGGTGATCTTGGGTGTCCACCAAGGGCCCACAGACTAGACAGGGCATCTGTATCTATTAATTTGTTTGGCCCCATTCACCATTCATGAGTGAAGAAAGAAGGGGTGCCCCAGAGAGGTAAGCCTGCCTGTGGCTCTATGGAATCTTAAACCTTTTTTGTCTCTTGGGGCATCAAATACTAACTGGGAGCCCACACGACCTTTACTTCTTTCTTACATGGGAGAATGATGGGATCTTTTTAAAGTATCACATTCTTATAGGCTATTGACCTCACATCTCTGCTGTCATTTGTTTTTATCTGTAAGTGCCAGTAAGGGATTGGAAATTGTAATGCAATTCTAAGATGGCCACCTCAACAGACAAAAAAAATATTTACAAGTGTTAGTTTTAGCACACTATAGATAGTAATTAAATTAATGAGGGGAAAAAATGAATTTATTCCAATATATATCTGTATATGTTTTATGCATACACACACACACACACCATATACATATATAAAGACAAAGAGAGAGAGAGAAAGAGAGAGAGAATGCATAATTGTGTTCCTGTATAAACGATCACTTTGCATTTTTTTTTGTTAGGTCCCTTGAAATAAAGAACTAATACCACAAAGTCATGTTCACGTATAGCTGTGCGCTGTTGATAACCCTGGCTAGTTGCCCAGTGCACTGAAGGGGTTAATCCTATTTGGCCAAAGCCAAGGCATAGCCTGATTACGTGACTTTAACTGGGCCAACCAGCCTTTCCGGAGAAAACACATTATCCACATATTCATTAAGCAGCTTTCTCATATGGAAATTTTATCCCCACAGGCACATCTTTTGCAGATCAACGTGGTAAAGACTTTACAAAGCAATTTATGTTTCATAAGTGCAACAAGACAAGAGTAAAAAGACCGGCCATTTGCACAGAAAGGTTTATAGGAGAGGATTTTCCATGAAGACGTTTTTTTTTGGTTTTTTTTAAATCTGCTGTTGCTATTTTGAGCAGAATTCTTAAAAAAAAAAAAACTATAATACACACTCTACACAAAATTAAAGTTCAAGCTATAAAACATACATGTATGTTTTTATATACTGTATATCTGATTCCCAACATATTTCTCTAAAACATCTCTCTCTTTCTCTCTCTCTCTCTCCCTATCTGTCTGTCTATCTGTATCCTTCACTGTATATATTCAGATATCCAATATCCACACTAGATATCCCACCGTTACATTTATAAACTGTAACCACACTTGTATATGTGATACCTAAAATTAACGTGTCTTTAAGGAAAGCAATCCATTTTATGCAGACCTATATTATATATTTTGTATACACATGAGGCTTTTGTTCATTCCATTTTTGGTACTCTACATTTTCCTTTAGCCTACCATCAGCGGATACAGTTAACCCTACAGGTATCTCTCTAGTGATTGGATGCAGCTAACAGGCATATCTGCAGCACAGACTGGCAACAAGCACTTGTATTGCAGCATTCCAGGCCAATGGGCGCAAAGTAGCCACAGCTGATTTAATAAATACCTCACGACAAGAGTTTTGTAAAAATAATTCAGTGTGACACTGAACATTAAAGGCCAACATACCTCCCACAATAGGCTCTTATAAAATGACATGAATATACAACAGCCATTTTAGCAAAGTACTTTCTTGTGGGATATGGCTAAAGCTATAAATCATAAATCATCAACACTTTTTAATGTCACGCAGCGTAAAATCTACACCCCAGGATGTACTTGGGAAACAAAAAGATAAATGTACCTTTTCTGGTTAATTACTTTACTTTAGTATTATTTTATTATGCAAATAGTAAACAGTATACACCAACCCATAACAAGGGCATTTGAATCCATTTAGGAATCACCTCCTGGCAATTTTGTGAGTTAATCCAATGCTTCACACCATTTCTCCTACATCAGTTAATGACTAGAAAAGATCATTTAAAGGTGCCCAAGCTGATTGATTGGTTTCATATAGTATTTTGTTTTCCTTTATTACTATTTACTATTTTTTACTTTTTTACTAGCTAATTTTGTGCCAGTGCTGAAGACTTTGCATAAATTACAAAATTCAAGATCATTTATATTTGTTGGCATCACCAATTAAAAGGATACTCCACCACCGAAATACATAATACATCAAAATCACTGTTTAGTACATATATCCCCAATGAAAACTTGCATGCATGTAACTATGCATTTTATCATTGGAGATATATCTAAAACAGCTTGCAAAACCCCCAAATCTCTTGTCTGTAGCCTTTGCAAACCCTCCCCTTCTAATCCCGTCCAGACTTCCTGTGGCTGTCCAATCATAGACTGCCCAATGCAGCTCAATGAGAAGTATTTGCAAGGCAGGTGCGCTGGGCAATTGCTGCCTCTTGAGTTCAGTGCAAATGGGCTAACCAAACCAGGAAGTAACAGGACCTGTTGTGTGCTTTAAAAGTCAGGGGGTGTAACCAGTATAACTTAGAAACGTGTAAATATCTACTGAAATTTGCACTGTTTCCAAAATTAAAAAAATAGGACACACTCTTCACATATAAAGCTATCTAGCAAGCAAAGGTGCTCTAGGAGTTTGGAGTGTCACTTTAAGGTCACAGATACTGGAGAACTTCCTGAAAGTAAGATGGAAAATCTTAGCTAACAGTGACAAACATACTTATTTACTAAAGTGAGAATTCATAGTGCATTTAAAGTAAATTTTGTAGTTAAAGTCAAAGATGCCGAACTGAAAATATAACATAAGAGAATCATCCCATTGTGGCTACATTTACCTTAAATTTAAAAATAACTTTGTCGTCTCAATTTGGTGAATAACCCCCATAACAGTCCTCCAGATACATTGACCATGCTGCATCAAAGCAAACATAGTCCATATTAAAATTATTCTCTTTCACTGTTGCTTTTAAGGACTATAAATCTCACAAACAACTAATTTCTGATAGCTGGGAGATCAGATATTCCCAGTCTCTTGTTATCAAATCTCCTTTAGAACCAACTGAGATAATAGGTATAGAAAAGTCTAAGCAGTGAATATGTGTCATGGGAAAAAGCATAAGTCAGAGTTTAGATTTCTTATTTTCATCAATATTCTTCTAAACTTTATCCAGCTAAACAAACCACCAAATTCTCATTAAATATTACACCGCTTGCAAACCATTCATTTAAACAACAAAAAAAATCCCCTTTCACCTCCTATAATTGTACCTCCATGATAAATCTTTCTAATAAACAACAAACTAATAATTGTCCTTTCTGAATTGTTTAAAGAACATTCCCATTCGGATTAGACTTTGTATTAATATCACAGAATATGCCTATAAATTCTCTGCAAATAGCACGGAAGATGAATTCACAGGTTTCATTTGTTTTTGTTTTTCACATTTAAGTTTAAAAAAAAAAATTATTTGCCCCTTTTGAGATGGCTTTTTAAGAAGTGCTGCCCAAGCAATTTGTAGGAGATTTAAATGACTTGTCAAGCGGGGCCAGCTAGCCTCCCATGTCACTTGATATGCTTTTAAACCACAGCTAGCATAAAAAATTGTTATGCACTAATAGCAGGTGTGTCACCGGACTACAATAGTTGTTGCATCTACCAAACACTTGATGCATAAACAATAGTACAAAGCCTCTCTCACTTGTGGTACAGCATTGCTTTCATTATATTTCATTATTACACAAAATACTATTCATTTAAATGTCAGTTCTCAGTATAAGGCTATATTTTAAATATAATGGTTTATATCGTTTGTCCACTCATTGAGTTGTATGTGTTTCTCAGTTTGATTATTACCCTAAATGCAATTCAGTTGCAGAGGTATTTTTCACGCATGTATTAATTCACTACTCATACACAAGGTTTCTCCAGTGGAGGGCTACCTACAAAACAATCTAATATATGATTATATCTGTTGTGTGGAAATGAAAATATAAAGAGAAATATAATGCCATTCATTGTGACTTTATTTCATATCTTATTATAAATGAAATTCTTGCAATATGGGTCCTATACAATTGCTGTATGATCTTGGTAGAAAAATGTATGCAAAGCTAAAATAGTATTTCATTTTTCCAAACAGCTCAATTCATGATGGGTTATCATGAAGATAGAAATTGCCACTATTTTCCAATAAAATATTATACTGATCTAATAACTGTGTCATTGGACTGCCTACTCCCATAAGGAGCACATATATAGAGTCCACAAAAAGGCCTCAGACAGTACATATTTTTAAAACTATTTTAGTGCATACATTCATAGCTTTCCCATTAAAACCATAAGAAACGCGTTATAAGGAAAGCACTATTCTATTACATTAAGGCATCATTCCATTAAAAGAAATCTCTTAACAAAATATATTGTGTGATGTGCTCAGACATAGTGTAATTGTTTTTTACGTTTTATCATACCTACAATATATGATATTTTACATTTATAAAAAAAAAATTTCCCATCATTTTTTAATAGTTTTCTATATCTAGACATTTTGTTTCTAGATTTTACGGTACACACTTGAGTCTTGATCATTTGGTAGGATGCATCTATGGGACATTAGCCTAATCTTTACACCCGATGACCAGAAATAGGCTGACAACAATCAGAGAGAAAAACAAGGTCATAGAACATGTAATAAACTATGTTTAACACGTGGGAATTGTCCTTGTGAATCCAAGATGTAACCTCAATCCAATATGCATATATCATTGTAGATATGGAAATTCTCTAATGGGATGGATTTTCTTCATATCGTGCCCATGTGTTGGTAATTGATATGCCTTTGCCCACTGCTAACCCTTGACCTAAACCACCGTCCATAGCATGTGACTGAGAAATGTAGATCCCATATAAAAGGGTAAAAATATTGGATTTAAAATAAGACTCATTGGTGATTTTATCTGTACAGCTAGCTTCCAGAGCAGAAATCCACATTATCCTTGACATGCTAAAATATATTGTTGGCATCGGTGGGATCTCTTCAGACTTTTATATAAAGGTATGGCAAATGTTATACATTGAACAAGATTGTGTAAGCTAAGAAAACTTAGCTTAGAACTATAACAAGTCATAAAGACATAGGTTATTATGGAACTGGTCAGAGCAGCAATATGATTGGTAAAAGATTAAAGTCAACGATGATGTGCTAGAAACAGCATTAACACACCTGTGTCTACGTCAACCAGTAAACATAATCTTATCAGCAAGACACTGGACTACATCTTATTAGGAGCCCAAAATATAAAGCAGAATCTATATCACAGAAACATGCAGGTAACTTCTTAATGAATACTCGTATCCCACTATAGAAGACAATCTTCAAACCTCCATGTGTCTGTCTTCCTGAAGCCTATCCAAACGATGAACACGTGCAAGATAGAACCATATAAGAGATCTGTCTTTTTAGAATTGTGTTGCCACAGACAAAGAAGCATACAATGTGTGCACACAACAAATGATATGCAGGGAGAGCTTCAGTATGTGCCATCACTGTATAAATAAAAGGTACAAATATCCAGCATATCAGTGGTGTGTACATGTATTTATTTATCCTTCCCTGGCTGAGATTAAAATTCAGTTTGAAGGTTTGCAATGGCTCTATTCTCTGAACAGGCTGACACCGATTAACACTTTTCGTATTTTAATGTATAATATGGAAAAACTGAGAAACAGTCCATATGTAAACGGCGTAGTATTGGCAAGGCACATATTGAATTGCACTGCACACATGTCAACGTTCTAAATCACTAATCGGACGACCGCTTGTTTTATATGCCCACAGTTCAAAATGTCTGCCTTAATCCAATGAGAGAGGAGGAGGGAGACCCAGCTTCCAGTGAACACTGCTGCTCTTTCCTACTGAATACACACACACACAGTTTGAACACAATGAATTCATGGCAGCAGAGAGAGGGAGAGAATCTGCTCTGTCCTGTACAGCCCTTATTGATATACATGCTTCAATCCCTCCACCAAAAAAAAAAACAAAAAAAAAAACAACCCCCACTTTCTTTCCCTTTGCTCCCTAGAATAAATTAAAGCCAGGCATCTGTACAATAGCAGCAGGCATAAATTAAGAAGTGCTCTGCCAATCTCTTCACAATTTGACGGTTACAGTAGCTCTTCAAATATAGTGACAGCTTGAAGTGCTTTCATCTTCCTGATCAGGCCCTATTTCCCAGTGCTTGTACCCAGTTCCTCCACCCTTTTGTCTTTATTTTTTTATCTTCCATCTTTATTTTGTCTGCACCACGGCTCTAAGTTGGCTATGCTTTCTCTAAACCCAATTTCCAATGATTCTGTTCTTCTGCATGTATTACTAAACAGTTACAAATATGTCCATGACATTTGTAAAACAAGCCTTACCTATGAAGGTGCAAGCGGAACAAATCTTATAGTTCACACTCTGAATAGTACACATAATAGTACCAGCCATCTCTCCACTTGGATTTACAAACAGAGTGTGATGTCTACATTAACACAGGTTGGACATACCACCACTAGAGGGTTTAAAGCACAAGGGGCATCACTTCAAACACAGTTTAAAATGAGAATTTAAATTTAAGGCTAAGGTAGCTAAACGAAAGCATATCTGACTCCAGTTTGGCTATTTTGGCTTTAAACTTGAAATTCACTTGGAACTCTCAGTTTAGTGAATATCCCTGATAGAAATTCTTATTTAAAAGTGTCAGAACAAAATCGAAGTCACATAATACCTTAATCTGAAAAGCTAGCTTGCAAACTAAAATAATACACAAACGTAGATACTAGTTAACACTCAACTGGACACAGAAGTTTTCACATGACCTGGAGAAACTTGCAGACCACTCGCAGGAATTACAATCATCTACTTTTGAGGGTCATTTATATTAATTTTAAAAATGACCATATTCAGGAAAGTAATCTGCTTTTTTTCATATGTACAATTTATTATTTTATTTATTCATTTATTTTTTCATATGTACTTTAATTTATTTAAAATGATATTTCACCTAAGGTAACGAGGTTTAAGTTGCTTTGAAGTGACTTTAAAAACAGAAAGTCCAAAGAAGCAAACGCCTTTTCAACAGGCCTTTGAGACAGCGTTGATACCATCGCTCTATGTATGTGTATTTGCTCCAGGGCAAGTCTAGCCAGTCTGCAAAGAGTATTCAAAGTAAATTTCTAAGGCCAAAATAGCAGAACATGAAACAGTAATAAACTGGATTTTTTTTCCGATTTGACTACTCTAGCCTAAAAATACTTAGCAATACAAAATTCACATAATAACCCTGTGTCTCATAACCCTTTCGTGAATTGTGGTGAATTGAAAACCAACTTGCAAAATATAGGCCAAAATAAAAAAGTTGTAAAACAAAGGTGAAGTAAAATGTTATTAAAATACGACAATGCTGGACTTAAAATTACATCCGGTAATATGGAATGTCAGCCTCTTGTATTGTATTGATGTCCTGTGCAGACTGAGCAAGTCTGTAGTTATTCCTAGTTCCTTTAAAAACCTAACAACTCCTCATTTAAACTATATTTTTTTTCATTTCCAAAAAAAGTTCAGAGGACAAAATAATTAGCTGGTCCCTGGGCTTTATGCACGCCGTTCCTTGCATTTTAATCTCTGGTAGATTAATGGATATCCATTATTTAGTATGAGGATTTATGATTTCAGATGGTTCTAGGTAGTAAGAATGCATGACAGCTGATGAACAAAGAGAATCTTGGACATTTACAACTGTGGCAAATCATGCTACAAAAGTTAATTTAAGGCATGAAAAAAAAATCTAATCTTATATAAGAAGCTGATCAATAGAGATTTGTTAACCTTCCTACCAACTCCGGAAGTGAAAAAATCGTAATCAGGGAAAACTAAATGTACCCAAATACACAAACATGCACACACACACACATACACACACAAACACACATACACACACAAACACACACACACACAAAGATGAATCAGTTAATATATATGATGTATGAATGTATAAATATTTATAGACAGACAAGAATGAGAATACATTTATATAAGTAATGTGGATTCACACATACACAGACATGGGAATGCATTTATATATAATGTATGAATATGTAAAAAATAGATCATTGGAGAAAATTAGACATGAAGATAGACAGAGGAGCGGATAAACAGAAAGAAAGATAGAACATTATAGAAGGGGTAGAAAAATGATAGACAGACAAAAAAGACAGGAAATCAGAGAGATAGACAGATAGACAGACAGACAGATAGATACAAAGATACACAGACAAATGTAATTATTGCAAGTGACTTTTCACTGTCTATAAACTGCTATTTAACTATTTTACATTCATATTATATTGGTTAAATAGCATGTAAAATATGAGATATTTCAGCACGATTGTGTATATAACAGCCTAACAAGCTTAGAAAAACTGGATATAAAAGGGGTTAATGAAGAGTACACATATAATGATAATGAGCTCTCAATACTACAGGATTCCCCCGCCATTCTATTTTAAAATTTCCGTTTATTATAAAAAGAAAAAAAAATCTGCCTATTCTATCCAGCATTTTCCAAGGCCCATCCCCCCTTCCTATCACACAGGCTTCCCATAGTGCTGGGACAAAATATTATTTGCCACCCTTTTAGACATACATGCAGGAAACTAATTAACATGGGCAGACATGCAACCAGCACTAAAGCATGCTATACACTGTCACACACACACGTACACACACACATACAAACAAGCCGGCCTTGTCTAGGGGGACACTGAAAAAAAGAGGCTTTGTTGACAATTTAGGCATCTGTCTGAATCTGGTCTGATTCTCCCGGCAGGGCTATTTTTTTCCCACTCCTTTGACAATGCTGGGAACATGCCCAGAGACCCCTCATTGAAATCCCCCTTTAACAATGCTGTCATTGTGTTATTATTCAAAAAAAAAGAGGAAGGGGAGAAGGAGATCTGAACAAAAATGTTAACTCAGTAAAGTGTTTACCAACAGACTCTGCAGCTGTCCTGCAAACCAGCCATGGGGGAAGAAGGGGTAGGGGAAAAGAGGAGGGGGGTTGTGGAAGAGGGTACAAAAACAACATTTACTCAAACTCCGTCTTGTAGGCGAATACACAGACTATAAAATGCCCATTGTCTATTTTAAAGCTCCTTTTGTCTGCTCTGGAAAACCAACAGCAGCGGCACAGTTACACATTATAGAGTGTTTAGACTAATTATGGGCCAATATATAACATGGTGTCAATTGGGACAATTCTATTTGTTTATATATTTATGGCAACAATAAATTAACAGACAAAAGTAGACAAAAGGAAAGATTTACTGGGAAACCATGTAAACATTTTTTTGGCAGCTGCTTGTGTTAATGTTGTGGGATGCGTAGACACAGTCACAAGGCTTTGTATGTTTTTCAGTGCCGTGGCTGGCACAGGGGACTTTTTGATATGTATAAATAAAATAAAAATAAGCTGTCATTACGTTGGGAGATTAGGATACTATAATCACTGCAAGGCACCTCTACCCAAGTGGATTCAGAAGCTGTCGTAACTGCTCATAGAAAATAACAGTGCGCTGCTATGATCGTCCAAAGTGAGAATCCGGTGGGAGAGTGCTCAATATTATAACAAGACTACCTGAACTCAGTAAGTAAAATCTGTGGATTGTCATTTTATTTTTTTCTGGAGTTCAATGGAAAGGGAATGTTCTTGTCAGCTTACAGAATGTTACTAACAGACTTATTCACTATTGGGGATATGAGAATTCAAGGTGAATTGAAATTGTACGGTCAAAGTAGCCGGACTGGAAATATTCACTTTAAATTCACCAAGACTTCTCACTTCAGTGAATAACTTTTTATAGTGAGACTTCCAAGTGAATTCCAAGTAAACTTCAAATGTAAGGCCAGACTAGCGTAATTGAAAGTCTAGCTGACTTCTTCCAATTTGGCTACTATGAGTTTCAATTTGAATTCACTATGGATTTTCCTAGAATTCTCACTTTAGTGAACAACCCTATAAGTGGGAAATGAAGGAAGCTGTGCCAGTTAAAAAGCTGATCCTGATGAAGGTGTGTGCTGAATGAATGGTTTGACTGTGCCAAATGAAATATTAGCCCTAGCTGGGGAGGGATATGTGTGTGGGGTTCATATCAAATGGTAAGAATGCAATTGCCCCAGATACAATGTTTTCCCCTTTTAGGAATAGAGATAGTGGTGCAAGATGAAAAATTGGCTCCAATTAAGAAAGTGTCTAATTTCAAGACGTGAGTGGCTGTAGTAATGACGTGTTGGCCCAGTTTTTGATAAGTGTGTATGAGCCTCCATAAGATTGAACATCCCTAACACTGCAAACCCCTAACTCAAAAATCTCCCATTAATAAAATGTTTTTAAAAACATCTCATACAATATCTTCCACTACTTTTCTCAAAGTTCTCCCACAATTTACCCACTACCAAGGTGTACTTCAATGGTGAGTGGAAGAAAGTAAGTGGAATTTCAGTTTCAAGGTTTTATTTGCCTTGAAAGTCTGAGTGAGGAATGGAAACAAGACTAACCTCCAGAGAGATACACATAATTTAACAGAAAGGAGCTGGAACATGTCTGAAAAACTGCCAGGTGGAGTCCACAAACGTCTTTATAGTTACATATATATATGTAAAATAACAGATGAAGTTACTATCTTTTTTATTAGACTGACAGAATTTTAGAATGGCAAGCTTTCTTAAGTCTGAAGCATTTCTGAGCAAAAACGACACACAGAATTGAAAGTCAAGCTGTGATAGAGGGGTTAAAGCTGCATGAGTGCAGATAAGAGACAGGTCTGATAGAAAATAGACACCATTCTCACAGAGGGTCGTAAATATCTTGTATAAGGATCACAGAGTGAGAGGAGAGAGAGAGAGAAAAAACGTACCGTGCAGGAGCTGCTACTAGAAGGGGGAGAGTTAAAAAAAATTAATTACACAGATTAAGAACACATGAAGTCACATCCAAGAATCCAGAATATGCCAGAAGGCCTACATACAGCCTATGCATACATATACATATATATGAATAGTGAGGGCTTGCACTCCTGGTGTAATCCTGTGGTGCCAAGTGCTGGTCTGACAAGAATCATGTCGACATAGCAGAAATGACCGCACTCCAAGGACTTTGTAGAGATTTTCAAATAAAATGTACATTTTATTCAATCCATTTAAAAAGTCAACGTTTCAGCTCCCACATGAAGCTTTCATCCATGTGGGAGCTGAAACATTGACTTTTTAAATGGATTGAATAAAATGTACATTTTATTTGAAAATCTCTACAAAGTCATTGGAGTGCGGTCATTTCTGCTATGTCTATACATATATATGTATACACAAACACAGATGTAAAACAGATTAAATCATATCATGTTATCCCTATTTCATCGGACTAACAGAATTTTGGAATGACAATCTGTCTGGAGAACCTCCCTTTCTCGACTTGACAGCTTGTCACCTGCTTGAGAAATCTAAATAAGCAGAATCCAATCAGGCCCAATTGGCAAGGAAGTTTAAGGATCACAGTAAGGTCCTATTAACAAAGGTGAAGATGCATAGGGTGGAAGTAGGCTAAGCCATATTTTGAGTCTGTATATTGCACTCTCATTGGCACGCAAACGGTTAAGGGAAAATTAATTCAGGCATATGTCCAAAGGCATGGCTCATTAAAACAATATTTGCCATTCTTGGGTATGTGCTGGCTGTGTCCTGAGGCAGCACAGGCTAATTAAAAGAAAGACCCTCAGCAATAGAACTCTTAATGCCAGATGTAACATCTTGCTGAAACTGAACTGTTTCTGGCCATTGAGCTTCTAGAAATATGATGTCACAGAGAAACATGAACTAAAAGGTTGAGTTTTTATCCATTTACTGCAAATAGCGCAAAATGATGTCAAACAAAGTATATACCCACAGGCAAACTTAGCCACTGCACCTGCTACAAATGTTTGCTGACAATAACAGGAGTTGCAGTTTAAACCATTTAAAGCAACATATATTTCTGATACCTGACCAATGAGGCACTGTTATGTCTTTGATAAGCAAACCCAGATCTAACTTATTTGGCAGTTATACCAGCATGTATTTTTTAAGCAGTGATTATTTTGTGAATTGAAACCAAATGCAAATAATAATAATACCAGATTACCTAATTGAGAAGGGTAGATTTAGTTTTTTTAAAAACACAGTTAAAGCAATAGGTGTAATGAATGGCAATACAACCCTGTACATAATGTTCAAATGTAGTATTTAATAATATTAGATTTTTGGTACCCAGAGATGTAAAACTAAGCAACGTAGATCATATAAATAAAAGCTATTACCCAAAGGCAAATGTTGCCATTGAGCATAAAATGTTTTAAATCAATCCCTAGGATTTACTTTTACTAGATGAAGGGCAAACATACTGTGAGTACAAACAGCTCAATCCCCTACGCCTTTATATCAGCATCAGCTGCTCTTAACACCCACTGCACCAGCTGGCATACACAAGCAGGAACACACAGTGGCAAACTGATTCGCAACATGTACTCAGAATGCACGCTGATATGCTGCATATACAGATAGGATGCACAACATGTACGTAGAATGCACGCTGATATGCTGCATATACAGATAGGATGCACAACATGTACTTAGAATGCACGCTGATATGCTGCATATCCAGATAGGATTCACATGTACTCAGAATGTACATTGATACTCTGTATTATAAACACCTATATATATATATATATAGGATGCACTGCATTCGCATGTACACAGAATGCACATTGATACACTAATAGTTGTATATAGGATGTATACTGTTAGCATGTACTCAGAATGCACACTGAAACACTGCATGTGTACAGAATGCACATTGATACACTATATATTTATATATAGAATGAACACTGCTAGCATGAGCTTAGAATGAACATTTGTACTTTAATACACAGCATGTACTCAGAATGCCCATTCATACACTATACAAATATATAATGCACACAAACTGCACGCACACAGAATGCATATAACATAATATATACCTAATATAGATATATATAATGCAAAATGATAAAAAGTGAGCACTAAAATACTGTACTGAGATAGGATGCACTAGTGCATATTGTCTATATTATACATGGTGCATCACGCAATCGCCTGTATTATACACTGCATATGTATGCCTGAAGGGTTTATTGTATGCATATGCACACGTCAGTACTAATCACATGTATTTGTCATGTATCACTGTGCATTGTGTACTTTCAAGGAAATGATGAGATGTTTCAAATATCTATGTAAGTACTGGATATTTGTGGGCATCAAGTCTTTGTGTTTTTTTATCAGTCTGCCTCCTGGATGTGAATATTTTATCAGTGTTAATACCACTCTAATACCTTGTGTTATGTTAGATTGTAAGCTCACGGACAGGGACGTCTGTTCCATTTGTATCAATATGTGTTCATTATTTGTCTGTATTCCTTCTGTACAGCGTTGCAGAATATGTTGAAGCTATAGAAATATCAAATAATAACAATAATAATGTGTATGTACTGCATTACCATCATGCATAATGTTTCTGTGTCAGTACCTTAAGTCTTGAGGTTGATGTGTATATGTATATATATCACACAATTCTCCTGCCATGGAATAGATGTCAGAAGACAATGTAAAGTGCCATGGTTATGTATCAGTGGAGGTCATATTGTTGATGTTGCCAAGCAACATGTCTGATGTTTCATTGTCCCCAGGCTGTTTAGCTGTCCTGAAGTTTAATTCTACATCCCACTTTCTTACTTAAAAGACAAGAAATCTATCTATCTATATAAAATATATATATTCTGTTGCGCAATCTTTCTGTAATTTAAGAATTAGTATTTTTTAGCAAGAGAGCATTTAGAAATTCATAAAAAATTCTAAATGCTAATGCTTACTTTTTGTAACTTCTCATAATCCATTTTGGTTTAGAGAAAAATAGAATATAAAACGAGATGAAAGAATGCCACAGCAAGCGCTCACTAAAATCAAACTGAAGTTTATTAGGCCCAAAACAGGGGGGGAAATGGCCAAGCAGAACTTCCTTATGCGTTTCAGACCTCTGAGTCCTTAAACTTCAAAAAAAGACAAATCTATGGTTGGAATTTGAGTTAAAAACTAACTCTACAATTTCCAAAGACAATATAATACTCAGTCCTCATCCTAATAACTAAGGTACAAATTAAAACCTTTAGAAATAAAATATTTTCTCACCTTCTGCCTGTTGATGTAAAAATCATTAAAAATCTAAATACCTTAAAAAAATGCTGACACTTTGGAACTTTGGTTCAAGTGTAAAAAGGAAAATATCCTTGCTGTCCCAAGAGTCCACTTTAACATGTGGATTTAAATCAACAGTGTCATAGTTGAGAACCAACTCTTTGAGTTGTCCCACCCAATCATATTTCCCATGAAGTTGAGAAAGTTGATGAACAATCATTAAGCTCATTATTTAGTTTAACCAGAGTAGCGCGGGTATCATTTTACAACATTAGTTATATCTTATTATACATGTCCTTTTCTTGCAACAGGGGGAGGTTGTGGGAGTCGAGACATCCCATTTCCAACTACATTTAGGCCCATAGGAAGGTTACCTTATTATTATAAAGATTAGATCAAAGTTAGTTAATTTTCTGTAGTTTTGTAGCCAACTTACTATGCAAAACACAGGAAGTGTAGATTACTGTTACAATCCAAATATTACTTAAAGGACCACTATAGGCACCCAGACCACTTCAGCTCAATGAAGTGGTTTGGATGCCAGGTCCCTCTAGTGTTAACCCTGCAGCTGAAAACATAGCAGTTTCAGAGAAACTGCTATGTTTACATTGCAGGGTTCATCCAGCCTCTAGCGGCTGGCTCTCTGACAGCCACAAGAGGCCACTTCTGCATTTTAAACTGAGCAAATCGCACTTATTTGACGCTGGACATCCTCACGGAGTCCAGCGTCAAAAAAGATCCCCATAGGAAAACATTGAGTAATGCTTTCCTATGGGCAGGTTTGAATGCGCGCGCGCCTCTGGCCGTGCATGTGCCTTCGGCTGTATATTGGGGTATATTACACTCCTTCTGTATACATGGGGTATATTACACTCCTGCTGTATACATGGGGTATATTACATGCCTGCTGTATATTTTGGGTATATTGCACCCCTGCTGTATAGTACAATGATCACTTAATGTTTTAGCCTAATCGAACTGTTTCATTTTCTGAAATTAAATAGCTTGAAACTGTGTATTCCTAACGCTATAGTGTTCCTTTAACAAAAGCTTTACATTTTATGGACTATGGAATACACAGTTTCAAGCTATTTAATTTCAGTAAATGAAACAGTGCGATTAGGCTAAAACTTTAAGTGATCATTGTACTATACAGCAGGGGTGCAATATACCCAAAATATACAGCAGGAGTGCAATATACCTCATGGATACAAAAGGAGTGTAATATACCTTAAATATACAGTAGAAATGCAATATACTCCAAAGAGCAACATGCAGCAAAACATGTTTGGTATAGTTTTCCAAATTTGGCATTAGCTCTGAGGGGTTTGCTGAATACTATTTTTTTTTATCATTTTCGTAAAACTAATGTATGGAATTAATTCTACATAAAATATTTGTTTGAGACCTCTGCCACACACAGATCATTCTCAAATCAAGTCTAATTGGCCTTCGTTGACAAAGTCGATGAGGTAATGCCCATGCATGATGTCACAGTAGGCGTAAGTAGAAAAAAACCAAAAAACATAAAAATGAAATTTAAAAATAAATGTGAAATGATGGGGTTTATTCGTTAAACACATAATAAATAGTGTGGAAAAACTATTTGCAAAATGTAGGCTACAACAATCAAGCCAAGTTAAGTTGAGTTGAAGAATTTTTCCATGTCAGCAATTTTTGCCTAAAATTTGTAATTTGGATTTTAATTCACTAGCATCTAGGATTTTATTAACAAACCCTTGTCCGTGTGTCTTTGAATGCTTGAATGAGACATGATAGATAGACAGACATATAGATAGACAGATAAACATATCTTAGCACTGCTGTTCTCCAAAAAGTATGACTAGCATCAGCTTATATTTGGCAATTTTACTTACATTTTAAAACAAAACAAGAGAATCAAGAATATGTGAAAGAAATATACCTGAAGCTGCTTCTTCCGTGAAAATTGACCGGAAACAAGACTTATTTCTGTACAAAGGCTGCAATATCTCTGCATTGGCAGGAAATGGATTCTGTGATCGTCTCTTAACCTGTAGAATGAAGAAATGCACAATGAGAAATGGGAAACTGAATGAGAGATTTAAACCTCTGTCTCTCCTATCATCTGGTTATCATTGATTTTTCTTGCAATACCGATCGAGTTCCTCAAATACTGTATTCACAGTGTTTCAGAGTCAGAACTGGAAAATAAAATCTTACAAATCACAAGATCGTTTTTAAATTAGTCCAAAAATGTGGCGTTGGCTTTTGCACTCACTGTAATCTAGAGTGATTGTTTAATCGGGACGTTCCGCTCAGAGCAATATAAAACACAGTATCTATAGGATCAAGAACAGTTGGAGTTACAAAACAATATGAGGTCTACTTGACTTGTTGCTATAAAACTCTTTTTTTGAATTTTAGTGTTGTAAAATTAAGACAAGGTTTTGATTCCATTAATTCACAAGAGCATGAGTTTGGTAAGACACCGATGTTGGCCTTTTTGATTTTTATTGTATTTCCCAATTCCAGTAATCCCATTGGTGTTTAATGCGCCCAGGGATCTTTGAAGGCAAATCAAATTATTTCACCCCGATGTAGACAAACCATTTGACACCTCCTGTCTATTATCCAGCTGCATGACAAAAGGGCCTTCTCCAAACTGTAGTCACAAAGCTGGAATCACAGATATTTCTATTAATGATTATTGTATGGTGGTAAAATGTCCCTTTACTTGAACTAAGAACTAGAACCCAGATAATGGAAAACAGTCCAGACCATTATTCCTTCCATATCGAATTTCACATTTAACACTATGCAGTGAGATTGGAAATATACTCCAAATATATGTAAATCCCACAGTCATTCATCTGACTGCCAGATGATAACGTGATGTATCAACACAGAAAATCTATTTCCACATCCATTGGTGGTGTGCTTTACACTACTCCAGCTGATGCTTTTCATTGAGAATGGTGATTGTTTATGATTGCTCTGCCAAGGAACCCCATTTTATTAACATTTCATGGAAAATGATTTATCTACCAACACTTGGATGTCACATTCTGTGAGCTTGTATGGCCTACCACATTTCTGCTGAGCTAATGGTAGTCCCTTATACCTTTAGTTCACAGCAATATCACTTATAGTTGTCTGTGGCAGCCCTGGCTAGCCAGAAATTTGGCAAACTGACTTATTGGAATGGTGGTTTTCGAAGATGGTGGCAAATTAAATCACTGAGCTTAACAGCCGATGTCATCCAACAGCCAATGTTTATTTTGAGAGATTTCATTTGCTTGATTTGGCACATAGAGAGGCTGTAGATGCACTGGTGGCTATGTGGTGTATAAAACTGGAAGGACATTTCTATAGTGACTGATCTTTGGAGTCTGCCCCTCAATTAGCAGGATATTTGGTCACATGAGTGTAGCTACATGCAAATCAGTTTAATTAAGTTTTGAACTTTTGAGCAATATTTTGAAAGTCTGTTGAAAAAAAGTAATTTAAGGTAATTTCAAGATGATTGATTGAAGCTAGCAGAGGATTATTCTATTTTAAGAAGCAAGTATAAAGAAAAAAATACCAACTTACACTTTTTGGTGCTGACTGACTGTTAAGTAACATTCCATGTAATTAAAATTTTAATGTTAGCTAACCAAAAGCTGTCCATCAACTCCAAAGGACTTGATCATGGAGGAAAAGCCAAATGGCAAAAAAACTAGAAACAAAAAAATACTAATAAATCAGGCTGTGGAGGATCCCTCCTCCCCCCCCACACAAACACACCATACTTTATGAGAGGGTTCCTTAGAATAGCAACTAACTATAGAGAAATGCATATTTAATACCCTCATTGGGATGTTGGAAAATAGGGATCTATTTAGTGTGTCCCCATGGTTGGCAGGGCGTTTGGAACAGATTCATACATATTTTTCCAACGATCCCCACTGCTGAAAAGAAGGAGGGGGTAAGGAGTTACATATTGCCTTTTCAGGTTAATTTTTTTTTACATTTTAACCAGTGTTTGTAAATAAGGGCTTAACAAATCTAATAATTTATCTCCCTGTTTTTTTTTTATCTCTCCTAGTGGTTCCCATAAGCTGTCTCCGTGATGTTGTCATGGAGGAGTGGAAGAGGACTCCAGTTGTAGCAGAAACAACTTTCCTAGCTCTTCCTACACCCTCAAGCTGCAGAGGACACTCTCCCACTAACAATAGCCACTGACCTCTTACATAATCACCTTTTTTCCTCACCACTGACAGATATGAGCAGCAAGGGGAATGAGGAGGAAGAACAATGAAATTGTAAATGGGTATATACAGTATCTCAAAAAAATGAGTACACCCCTCACATTTTTGCAAATATTTTATTATATCTTTTCATGTGACAACACTGAAGAAATTACACTCTGCTGCAATGTAAAGTAGTAAGTGCACAGCCTGTATAACAGTGTAAATTTGCTGTCCCCTCAAAATAACCCAACACACAGCCATTAATTTCTAAACCGTTGGCAACAAAAGTGAGTATACTCCTAAGTGGAAATGTCCAAATTGGGCCCAAATAGCCATTTTCCCTCCCCGGTGTCATGTGACTTGTTAGTGTTACAAGGTCTCAGGTGTGAATGGGGAGCAGGTGTGCTAAATTTGGTGTTATCGCTCTCACACTCTCTCATACTAGTCACCGGAAGTTCAACATGGTTGACCAAAGAAGTTGAGTGCACGTGCTCAGCATCATATCTAGAGGTTGTCTTTGGGCAATAGACATAAGAGTGCTGTCAGTATTGCTGCAGAGGTTGAATGGGTGAGGGGTCAGACTGTCAGTGCTCAGACCATATGCCACACTCTGCATCAAATTGGTCTGCATGACTGCCGTCCCAGAAGGAAGCCTCTTCTAAAGATGATGCACAAGAAAGCCTGCAAACAGTTTGCTGAAGACAAGCAGATTAAGGACATGGATTACTGGAACCATGTCCTGTGGTCCAATGAGACCAAGATAAACGTATTTGGTTCAGATGGTGTCAAGCATGTGTGGCAGCAACCAGGAGTACAAAGGCAAGTGTGTCTTGCCTACAGTCAAGCATGGTGGTGGGAGTGTCATGGTCTGCGCCTGCATTAATACTGCCTGAACTGGGGAGCTACAGTTCATTGAGGGAACCATGAATACCAACATGTACTGTGACATACTGAAGCAGAGCATGATTCCCTCCCTTCAGAGATTGGGCTACAGGGCAGTATTCCAACATGATAATGACCCCAAACACACCTCCAAGATGACCACTGCCTTGCTAAAGAAGCTGAAGGTAAAGGTGATGGAATGGCCAAGCATGTCTTCAGACCTAAATCCTATTGAGCATCTGTGGGGCATCCTCAAATGGAAGGGAAGGAGCGCAAGGTCTCTAACATCCACCAGCTTCATGATGTCGTCATGGAGGAGTGGAAGTGGACTCCAGTGGCAACCTGTGAAGCTCTGGTGACCTCCATGCCCATGAGGGTTAAGGCAGTGCTGGAAAATAATGGTGGCCACACAAAATATTGACACTTTGGGTTATTTTGAGGGGACAGCAAATTTACACTGTTATACAGGCTGTACACTTACTACTTTACATTGTAGCAGAGTGTAATTTCTTCAGTGTTTTCACATGAGAAGATTTAGTGAGATACTATATATATTAAAGGGTGTATATATATATATATATATATATATATATATACACCCTTTCGAAAGTTCCTTAGAGAACTGAAACGTTGATCTTCTGTGGCAGATGCCTGAATAAAAAGCTAAGTTTTTTTTGGAACTTTATATATATATATATATATATATATATATATATATATATACATATATATTTGTGTACGGGGTAATGAGAGGATGTTCAATTAAAAGCATGTAATTTAATAAGGACAAAGTCTGTTGAGGTGTGCCGAAACCGACGAGAGGTTAGACCTGCAAAAAGTGGGCCCACCTGGTATATTAATATGAATAATAAAGGGTGAGGTGGGAGGGGAACTTCCAAATGGCAATGATAGGTAAGCAGGGGTTACTGGGGATTTAAATAGGAAAATAACCCCTTCCACATATATATAAAGTACATAGAGTTGTGGTGGGGAAAAAAGTGTGGATGAAAACCAATTCCACCTGAAGTAAATGGATAGTTAATACATTGCTAAACACAAATACACACACCAGTCAAGCCATAAGACTTGATTTTCCCACAGAAATCTCACTTTAATAGTGCTCTCACTACTGCAAGGGATTCTGGGTAGGCATTTGCAAATGAGCTCAACAAAGAACCACAATTTTGCCTCATTTCCACTTTATACATATACATAGATTCATTGGAGTATGTGTCTACTGTATACAACAGCTTTGAAACACAACTCAGGAAGAGGAGCAATGTGGTTCTTTGTTGAGCTCATTTGCATACACCTACCCAGAATCCCTTGCAGTAGTGAGATTTCTGTGGAAAAAGCAAGTCTTATGGCTTGACTGGTGTTTGTATTTGTATTTAGCAATGTATTAACTATATATATATATATATATATATATATATATATATATATATATATATATATATATATATATATATACACATATATATATATATATACATATACACACACATATATGTGTGTGTTTATAAGTGTGTATATGTGTGGGAGTGAATGTCTTTGCATGAATGTATGTATATGTGGATGATTGTGTCTAGATGCATGTGAATAATGTTTATGAGTATGTGACTGGTAATTTATGGATGTATACCTATACGTGTTAGTGATTGGCTAGTATGCTTGGGTGCAGTTAATTTGCTATGTGTGTGAGAAAGACAACAGTGGCTGTGGATGAGTGGGGATAATTGTGTATGTATGAGAGAGTGGCTTTAGTTGTCAGGGTGTGTGAGTGTTGCCAAGCTGCTAATTTGTGGCCTTTGGCATTTTAGAAAAATGTTTCATCCCTATTGTAGCAGCATGTTAAATATTATCTTAGTGACATACAGCTTTAATTGACACAAGCAGTGTGAGATGATTATAACAGACTGACTGCAACCAACCTGCCTTTAATTACTAGCTGACCTGGAGATATTACCCATCAACATGCAAGTACAATACAAAATTGTTGCAGTTCAAACTTTAGCGAAGACAGCTCGTATTAGGTGGCACTGCTGACATTTTTTTACTACTTTCTTATTTTACATAATTACCATAGATTCATTGGCAATTGACTTACAAACCCTGTATAGGAAATGTGGCAATCTAAAGGGTTAGTGCAAGCACCATGACTACTTCTGGGATTTCAAGTAGTTATGGTTCGAGGAGATTGCTCCATCCAAAAACTGTATTTTCTTAAAGCACTGATTTTGGTAGGAGTAATGTTTTAAGTCGTACATTCATCTGAAAGCCCACTATCAAGATATCATAAATAAATGTATGAGTAAATAAAGCATTAAGTTAATAAAAGCTGCAATTAACCTATTATAAAAGGAATTACTGACACTTTCTTGTAATGAGGGGTCCAGAAAAGCTACCATTGACATAGTATCCTAAATGCCCTCTTCTAGGAAAATGGTCTCACTAAGTTGAGTTGATATTTGAAGTCAGTTAGCTTAATACATCAAGAACCACTCTTTGGATACTTGTAAGACTGAAGGAACAGTATCAGTGTCTCAGTGGGTGCAGATGAAAGGACCAACACGTTTAAGTACCCCATTACCCCAGCTAGCTTCTTCATAGCACAGTCAGGATAATATTCCCTTACTCACTACTGACTGGGTCATCAACACATGGACATAGTATGTGCAACCATATCCCACACCACTTATACTTCCAATAGCCACTCAAACCAGTTTGGAAAACGTTTGAGGTTCCAGACTAATATTTTGATTCTCATCAATTGTGTCTCAAGGAACCAAGTAACCACTGCTACCAAATCCAATACAGTAAATTGAATAAAACATTTTGTAGGGTTCTGTTACAAATTGTAGGGACACTATAGGCACGAAAACAATTTTAAATGAATGAAGCAATTTTGATGTATAGCTCATGCCCCAGCAGTCTCACTGCTCAATTCTCACTTTGTTTACACAGCACTAGTCACACCTCCCTACATGTGACTTACACAGCCTTCCTAAACACTTCCTGTAAAGAGAGATCTAATATGTATACTTCCTAAACTGCACATTTTCTTTAATTTAGTATTTTATATATGCTGCTCTATTAATAGCTTTCTAGACCCAGTAGAGTCTCCTGAGTTTGATTAAAGTTCAATTTACAGAGCAGGAGATAAAATCTTCTAACGTAAATTAAGCTCTGATTGACAATGAACCCATTTTTGTATGCAGGCTGTGTGAGTCACTCAGCCAGAGGGGGTGGGCTGCATAAACAGAAACAAAACTCATTTAAACCCTAAATGGTAGAGGATTAAGTAGTGAGACTACAGGGGCATGGTCTATACACTCAAACAGCTTCATTAAGCTTAAGTTGTTTTGATTTCTATAGTACTCCTTTAACATTTTGTACAGTCACCCATTGCAACAATCTAAAAGTCTACTCACTTAATAAAAACTTGACAACAGACTTGCAAAATGCAAGTCACAAAATAAATTTAGATTTTTCTTCCAAATTGGGAATTTCACACAAATTTGCCAGCATCATCACAACTTGCTGTTAATTGAATTGATTCCTTAGAACTAGATTGTCAAATTCTGCCCCAAGATGTTGATGGCCTATAACTTCCAAAATTATTTGAATGCAATACATGGGCAGATAATTATGGGAGTTGGAGTTGAACAGCATTTGTGGGGTTGGAGTTGACAACCCTGACTTAGAATTTATCTCTCCATGTGGAGGCAAAATAGGTTGTAAAATGTCATTTAATGCATCTCAGACAAAAGTAACTCTAAGTACAATATGTTTATTTTTCCATTAAGCTGACAGAGAGAAAGAAAAATACATGTTTGATACACAACTGCAATACTAGCTTAATGGCGATAAAAAAAGCCTTGAATATGAATATTGATCAATTAAATGCTGCAAAATCAAAGCAGCATTTAATTTATCAAAACAGGATAGAAATATCCAGTGGAAACCTTTGCAATGAAGACTCATCAGAAACAGATTTGTTGGAGCCGTGTTTTTTATAATTTATTTTTAATGAAAGTATGCGTATTTAAGACAGGAATTTCATTATATTTAAGTATTCTGAAAACCAGATCAAATAAACAAAAAATTTGCTAATATGGTAAAATGTTTCTGTCATGCAGCGATCTTTCTTTTTATCTTATCAAGAGCGTGACAAGTAATTGTATTTCCATATATCATTCTGAAATAATATATATATATAGATATAGATAGATATATATATAGACAGATAGATATAAATTTGTAATAAACAATGTTTCTGATACTGGAGTTAAACAGGGCCTAAAATGAGTTATAAAACCTTGCAATGTACAGTGCTGCAAATACGTTAAAGCCATATAAATAAATAACGACTAATAATAATCATAACAAAAATAAATTATGCTTAGGCATTAAAGGTGTTAACAAATCATAAACAATATAGTTTCTAAAACCCATATAGTATTTTCTTTTTGCTGTCATTAAAAGATATAATTAAAAATCCAGATTTTCAGTATCTAAATCAGTGCTCAACCCAAGCGAAAGAGTGAAACTGCTTGTACACACTCATAAGAAGAGCGAATTAGAAAGTACGTTAATTCAATTAATATCAAGGATAGATTTTCCGCTTGAAAAGGGTGGTGGCAGACATAAATGGGTCATGCCAGTTTCATTTATTGTCCTACTTTCTTTTTCGCTAATTAGCACAATAAGAAGGCAATCACGGGCAGCAATGGGGAGAATAAGGAAGCAAGTTCAACCTACCTCGTGCCAAAGCGGCCATCTTAAAATATTCAATTCCATCAAAATGGCTTCCATATACAAAGCAGGATCGGGAGAGATGAAGCAATGAGCTGGTGTGGTCTAGGGGCAAAATATTCTTCTTGATTAGTCTCCTCAGAACTCATCATTCCTTGATCACCATGGGTATCACTTAGAGTTGATACTCAAACGTATATTCAAATTAACAAGCTTTGAATGCTGATTCTCTCGCTGACTTCAGTACGTGAAGCTGAGGTAATCCACAGAGTGCAGTGGATTCAGCCTGTCTTATTCACTGTGTGGGAGACAAGGTATAATGATTTCTAGTCTTGTGTTATAATACAGGATGCAATAATGCTATGTGCTTAACACTAGATTAACCCTTTCTCGTCTTTTGCATTTAATTGGCTGCATCGGGGATAGACTATTAACCCTCAAAAATGTTTTTATGTATTTTTTTCTCACACTACATTTTTAGCATTCTTTTTACTTTGTTTACTCATATGCTAGTCAAATATTTTAAATGTACCTAAATTCTGGGTTCAGTATCAGATATTCACTGAACATATCACTTCAAATAACTTAACATGCCCACACTTATGTTAAAAAGGGTAACATTTACATTTCCAAAAAGAAAATATTGCTATTATATTTTCTGACACAATAAATCTATATTCTTTAATTAAACATAAAAAATTGACAATTGTATGAAAATCATTCATGATATCCATATGTTCAAAGGGTATACAGTTTCTTGGGGAAAAAAAATTATATAGATAGTTAAAATTGTTTATTATTTTATCCTTATTGTAGCAAAGGATTTCATGGCAGTATGTGGTAGGTTTAATGTAGAAATATAGTGACCTTTTTTTAAATTAAGTAGATTTTAACAACCATAAAAAAAACCATACTAGTTGTATAAAAAGGCCAAAACATGGTAAGTCGATTACTTGATAGCATAGGCCAGTTTTGTTTTCTCTTTTGCTATAAATGGTTAAGTGATTTTTTTCAGAGCGCATAGCATCTCATTATTAGCAGCAAGGTGATTGGTCATTCAATATGCAATTTATTTAGCATTTGCCAGACTCTCATTAACAAAAGGGAGAAAATAGAATGCATAAAACAGGTCAGAATAGTAACCATTTTAGTACACATGGGATATACTATTTTTTATAGCTCAGCACTATTGCAAGATGATCAAAGACGGCTATTTAATATAACATTCCAATTGCACAATAATAGCAAGAAAATATATATATTATTTTCCAACAAAGGTATTTAGAAATTACCTAAATGCAAAAGGATGGAGCTACATATTTCTTTATTACAATACGCTGGTCGCCTCGCTGGCACGTAAAGGGTTAGCCTGGGATGTTCAGCTTGTAAATTGGAGAAATTTACATATGAACCATAGGGAAATGCCTTTATTAACCTATTATGTACCAGTAGGTATTATATGTTTGTGCGGAAATAAAAGAGCTGATATTACTCTGCAGCCAAATATAAAGCTAGACATTTCTAACAAAGAAATTGTGGTGATAGCGATGAACAGAGAAAAATGACTTTGGAAACGCCCAGCATGCATATAGCCGGCAATTGTTATTAAGATAGGGTTTAACGCATGCAGATTTACAGCATGCATATTCATTTGCTATCTTCTGAAAACCTGGCCAATGGGTGCCTCTCATTAACCAGAAGCTAAAATGCCTTATAAATCACCGTCGTGCTCTGCGAGCCGTGTGGCGAATGTCACTGGTTCCATTGTTGTTTACGTGTAGCAGAGCAGAATACACCAACTGGGTATCTGGTGTCTCGTGCCAGATCTTTTTGTCTTCAGAATGCAATTTCACATTTTGGAAAAAAGAGACAACAAATCTGCATTCTGTATATGGAAACCCTTCCTTGTGTTCTTGACTTATAGCTGTAGCATTCTTAGCATTGGCCAGAGTTTCTGAAAGTGTATTTTAGGAAAACAATGACAGGGGGACTAAACACCTGCATGGTCTATCCACTAAACAGCGATTGGTGGCAAGCTCTAGCAAAGTGATAGACAGAAGGGATGATCTATAAAAAAAAAAAACCTCCAAGGCATCTGAAACACAGATTTCTATTTTTATTTGTTTCAACGTCGATGTTTGGGCCTAGAATTGCAAGTAAAATCTGAACTCAGTAATTACTGAACAGATTTTTGTCACTATATACAAATCATGATTTGCAGTATCTGCAGTGACAAACATTGGATTATATATCCCCCCCCCAAACATTAATAAACGTGCAAATTACTGGCACTATAAGCATTTTTGAAATTTAATAACCATAATAAAAGTAAATAAGTCTATATGCTTCACTGAGAATATTTGCAACAACAAAAAAAACTGCTCATACATGCAGCATGCATTTTATCAAATAACAAAGGTATTTTTCATGAATGTATGTATGACACTCAGTGCATTCAATGTTCCCTTAATCTACACAATGAAAACTACAATCATTCAAAACGGGTGATATGTCAAGAAATTATATTTCTCAATAAACATTAGTTTACAAGTTATAGAATCCATCATTTTCCTCTTACTGAGAACAAAAACAATGTAACTATGGCTGGAGTTGCATCTGATTTATTTTTTTATACCTTACAATGCAGTGTATAACAAAAAAATTTAAATGAAAAAAATATTGTCACCTGCTTTCCAGAGGCCATTTTGTTCGCTATCTTTGCTACTCCATTGGTTTTCTGCTATGAAATTTGAAATCAACATATGTCCTTGTGGATCTGTAAAGGTTAAAGAGAGAATGTATTTTGTGATAAATTCAACCTCCATTTTCCTAAAACATAAATTATTAGAAGAGTTGAATGGTAAATCCATCTTGGGGTTCAGTCAGTATTGTCTTTGTGAAGAGTTTCTTAATTCGTCAATTGTTGGAACAAAAACATAATAAAATAGAATTTGTTGACTCTATTAAACTCTATTTGCAAAAAAGGTTTTAGTGAACCAATCCTGCAAAACCTGTAGATACAAATGCTAAAGAAATTTCAAAGCAATGACTTTAAAGGAAAATCCCAGTAGGGATTTTAAAAATGTTCATTTCTGTGTTAGGAAGAACACAGGGGAATGAAATACTTTCTGCCAATGTTTGATCTCACTTGACTGATAACAGTAAGCACGGGCTAAGCACACACAGAGGTTTGTTTGTTTATTTTTTTTAATAGTAATGGCACAATCCAACAAAGAATACAGAAATTTGTGTTAATTCAGAAAATAAATATGTTTGTTAATTTATTACACAAGTTAGTAATTTTTAAAGTTGCCTACTTTGATTTGCATCCCCCACCCAAAAACATGTTTAACAAAATAGTGTAATATGGGATAAAGTGTTATACAAATATAATATGTTTAAAACAACAAGTGTTTATGTAAGTAAAATATGGGAAGAAAAAAAAACAATAACAACTGCCCAAACAACTCAACCCAAGAAAAGATAAGTCAAACCATGGACATCTAATCAAGATGGAAGGTTCTTTGAGATGGGACTGTGATTTTTTTTAAGATGATGTTTGGAAAACATTTTATTTGGATCCTAAAGAAGTGGTATGGGTATGTTATACAACGGACCCAACTACTATTGATTGAGAAATGGGGCAGTATATAGAGTCCTGTGAGCTCAGAGTACACTTTATGTACAAAAGGTCTGTTTAGAAAGCAAATGTGTCCTTAGAAGAATATCAGTTTCACAAATCAGGCTAAAAAAAGCCAAACTGAAAAAAAAAACATTCTAAGAAAATAAATTTCAAATAAACTATTTTCAATTGATTTTTCAACATTTTTGTAACATAACAACTTGCTGTTTTGTGAAACGACGATATGTTATGTTTGAGCCTACTCAATATTTTCTCATAGTTTAGATTGCCTTTATGTCCTGTGGTTCACTAAACTTACCATAATTCCTCAGATTCACCTTGACGACCTTTATGCTGTCCTGAAAAAAAATAAAATATTGATAAATGTTTTTTTTCCATCTGTAGCATACAATTACATGAAATGAATATAATTTCATGGGAAATCAGGTACTTTAAAATATACTTACTTTAACAGGCACCAACTCTGTTACATGACTTTTTTCTTCTATGGAAGAAATACAAAAGTCAATAGAAGAAGTACCAGAACCGCAGCAGAAGAATCAGGAACAGTGTTGCGAAATCTAGTGATGTAATTAGGAATTTGATTGGACTTATTTATTCTTAGCATTTAAGTGTAATAATACCCATACTTCAACAATGAATTGCTGGCAAATAACTAAAATCACATCTATACTTCAATTACGTATTATTAGCATATAAGTACAACCATATTTATGCTACAGCAATACGTTAAATGTATATCAGTATAGATATAAATTGTATGTACAGTTTCCATCCCATTTATAATGTACTGATATTATGATAAATAATATTGCTTTCCACCAAAATCCTCTATGTTCTTCAGTGTTATATAATTCCACCAAAAAAACTATATTTATATATATTGCAAATTATATTATATTATAAAGTGCTAAAGGATGACCTATCAACCCATGCTAAGCAATGAGCTCTCTTAGAGTGCACTCCAATAACAGAAATTATATTGAAAGACAACAATATGAAAATTGTTTCAATCAAAATGCCTAAGCTAATGACACTTCTAAAGATGTCAAACGCTATAACCTATGTGGATGTTCTACTTTTAAAGTAAACGATTAAACATCTGGGGATTCTAAATGCGGAACCATGTAACTAACATGATCACTTTGCTGAATGCCCAATGTGTGTTTGTCTCTCATTTTACACTTATAAGGGTTGTGCACTACAAATTAGGCAAGGATGTGCAGGGTATTCATTGAGGAATGGAGATGGTCATGCTTTAGTAAATCCAATCAGTCTGGGGGTTTTAAAATTCAGGCACTAATAATGTTGCAGTTGTAGACGGGTGAGTGGGGGGAGGGTAGTTCTTTCCTATTTTGATCTGCTTACCAGTAATTCTATAGATGTTTGTGATCTAATTTTAAGGGCCTGTAAGTCACATGGAACAATAAGACCAGTATTATTTTACAGTCCATAAATCTGACCAAAGCACCAAATCCCAGAAAGTGTTCCACAGTTTGTGAAATTATTATATAAAATAGACAATAAAAGCCAAGTCATAAGAAAACAATTTTTACATGCTTACTAAATGTCTTGATTAGTGACATTCTGTTTAATAACTTCATGACTCCACCTACATCCTAAGGTTTACACCAGTCTCACTCTACAATTACTTCCAAGACTAGAGTTATTTTTGTACATAATTATCTGCTAGATAATTGTGGCCCAACAATTATTGGGGAGTCAAGAGTGCATTCCCAGCCTAAATAGCACTACATTCTCATTAACATGGACAGTTTAAATATATATATATTATGTACTCTTGTTTTATTTGTGAGGATTAAACCTTCTCAATAACAAAGTGGTGGGCATTGTACTAACTAGCATTCTAATGCCCAAAGGGTTAAATATCACATCCCCTTAAAAATAGAGAATATTCACATGGTAGCATTAATTATCACTACACGATTTACACTTCATTAAAAGCCTATCACCGAAAAGCGAGACAAGGTAGGGGGAAAAAATCAGAAAGAGGTGTGAGCTCACCTACCTTCCGGTCTGTTAACAGAAGACAGGGTGAGAAGTACTCTTAAATATCTGTCTGCAGATATGTCATCTTCTGGCTTGGGCACACCTCGACTTTCTCTGCTGCAAATTTGGGTGTAATATTTAAATATGAGATGAGAAACACAATGATTGACATATTTAGAGATGACTAACAGTTTTTGACAATCTGTTAAACAAAGGTTTCTTAACAGACTTTAAATATATTCTCTCAAGAACATATCTGTCTTTTTTTTCTGCATTTTTGTTAGCTAACAATAAATCATATAAATAATGTCCATATCAATAGAACAATGTATATTTAGAGATATTACATATTTATATATATAATATATATAATATATAGCAGTGTGTATATATATTTCTACACACACGCACACACACTTAAGTATACAAGAATTAGTATATACAGATCTAAATAAGGGAAAAAAAACATTCATTTGCTACAGATATGCTATAAATTCCTTAGTGCTAACTTATATTTCACATGTTTTTATCCTTACAATTTTTGAGTGTCCTTAAAAATATTTTTTCTTTCTAGAGACAGAAAAAAATCTTAAAGAATATAAATGGAGTCTGCAATTCATTATCAGGAAATCATCTGAGAGTAGAATGGTTTCAAAGGACACATCTTATAAGTAATACCTAATCACATGGGATAATTCCTCTATATCGACTGTCTTCTCACCTTATGTCTCTGCCTTTTTCTTATATGTGAAGTGCTGGATGTGGCGTGGGAAAACCCTATTTGGCCTATTCACAAATCCGCCATCCCCTTGAACCAAAACCAATTAGCCTGGACCAAGGTCCCAGCATTTAACAAAATGTCCTCTATTCAAACCCACAGTTTCAATTGCTGAGAGAAGATTGGAAATGAATACGTCTTTAGCACTTAAACCTCTCCTTTAGACCAACTGAGGATGGAAAGCAGGATATCTCTACAGAAAGCCACATCCTCTGAATGGTGCAATCCACTGACCCAAGCTTTGAACTTTATATTTTAGATGTGGTCAACAACCTTACTAACAAAGCAATCACTGCCACATCAATGCTCAAAAGACCACTGCAATTTTCATACATCCCAGATAGAAGATGCACATACTTTTCCAGGAGCTGAATCCATATTTGGTTTCAGTATAGTTCCCTTTAAAAGATTGTTTCATAATGGTGAGTTATTTAATTGTATTTTTATTAAAGAGCTCCAATCTAGGGCTAGCTTAGGTCAGGCCTCATTTCCACTTCAGCATCATTAAAAATCATTCTGCACCTTTAATTCTTACCCCGCGTGTGAGTCCCACCAAATCACAGGATTACTGCATTAAAGTTGGATTAGTAACGCTTTCTAAATAGTAGTTTAATTCTAAGCATGCATGCTTTGCTGTGCCCCAAGTCACCAAATCTCTACCTGGGATAATACGCCATGGACCAATGTACTCCCCATTTTAAAAGCATTTGCACAACCAATACATTTATTCTGTGGAGCAATAATTATAATGAGATATGCCTTCTGTAACAATACCACAACTGACAAAGACACTGCTTCACTGACCCTCTACCTACTGTGGTTGAGATTACAAGGATCATTCAATTTCTCCAAATATTTTAGATTTAGCTTACATCAAGGCAATCAATAACCCTAAAAACCTCTAATGATTTTACAGCAACTTGTCGTGACTTGACCAACAAATTAAAAATGTGACTTAAAATTGCTTAACCGAGAGAGAAAAAAATCTCCAGTTGAGCAGAGTAGATAATTTGCATTTATTGATATTTAGTTAAATTCTGCCATTTTGGCTTCAATTTTGCAGCGTGATTATCAACTTGACCCATTTACTATATAGAGAACAGACATCAAACTCTGTTCTTTCCTAAATTTAAAATGCAATAATTGCAACTTAATTGACTTTAGTCTTTGACTGCTAGGATGTGATGGGACTGATCAGGCCTAACTAAGACTTTACGTTGAAGACATTTAATCAATTGACCCTGTGTTATTATGCCTATATAAAACTGATAGGTCACAAGGATAGAGGTAAAACTTTAATCATTTAGTACAATATAACAACTAGACCTAGGCTTCCTTTAGTCCCAAAGGCCCATGTAGAAGAAGCATCCACCTTTAATTTAAGTATAATTAAATTTGTAATGCCATCTATTGCTTGTATATTGTGTGTGTTCACTGCATTGTGCGGTACAGTATTTTGGTATTCCATAAATGCAATAATAATATTATTACTACAATTGACATTGAGTACATGTACAATACACCAGCATGTAGGTATTTGTTTCTGATGAATAGACAATGCACATTTTGACTACAAACGATGCTAAATACATTTTGGGGGAAAAAAAAGTAAGGGCGCAGAGTATTTTTGTTACCATGGAAACTGGATGCAGATTTTCTGAATGCTTTTTTCTTTTTCTAGATGCTAGTAATTCTGACTCACGTTAATTTCCAAGTTTTGTTTTTTTTAATTTAAAAAGTAATGTGCATTTTGAAAAATACACGGTTTAAAAGGGTGTGAAGTAAGTTCTGACCTCTGGAATCTCAATTCATTTCAATAGAAAATTGCCTGTCCTTTCCCTCTTTTCTGCATCAGTTCACTAAAGGAAGGAGACCCCCCCACACCTCCTTTCAATAGCTAGCACAAAGAGAGCTGACATGGTCCATGAATATGATCAAATTATCAGGAACTTGACCTCTTCTAAGAACAATACTTTCCGAGGTACAGATTTAGGCCACGAGAAACAGTAAATAAATAAAGAAATGAATAAATAAATAAATAAATAAGAAAAAATAATATATATATTATTAAATATATTTATTTTTTTATTAATTCATTCATTTATATATTTATACACACACACATATAACAATTAAAAAAACTTAAATATAAAATAATACAAGGATTAAAAAAATTATACAATTGCAAAGGTAAGTACAACTCTATAATTATATAATTAATATTCTTTATTTACTTGGAAGACATCATAAATAATATGGTAATATGGTAAAATGTCCGGCCACAACACAATATATATACCTATTACCATACTATGATATAAATAAAAAGAAGCCAAGGAAAGAGTACCTTTGGTGAAGATCAGGTGGGACCCGCCGTATTCCAGGCCGCAGTCACCATGGACGTGATTTCTGATGAAGACTCTCTCCTGCCGTAGCAGCACCGTCCGTGACGTCATGGAAGTTATTCCTACTTTCGGTTATCTAGCTTTATGACGGCTGATTTACACTCATACAGCTAGATAACCAAAGATAGAAACAAACTCCCCATTTGGCCCTCATTCTCGTTATTTCATTATTGTTAGGCACTGGACAATACTCCATCTGACAGGAAAAACATATATAGAAATACCTTATTCTAATGATGATCATCGGCAGCAACATGTTTGCTATGAGAAGATACACAACGTTCTATGGATGGAATTCTCAGCTCCCACTGACCAAGTCCCACTCAGACCGCTGGAGTCAGAAGCTCAGAGCCAGTGAACGATGCCTTTTACGTTTTTCTAATGGTAATAGCGGCTGAGGTGGCAGTGACGTCACCGACAAACCAGCCAATGATGGCTCTGCTATCAGAGTAACATCCCGCTCTTTTGGCCCTTTCTCCTAAAGATTGTCTCTTGACTCTATGAGCCAGACACTTTAAAAACTTCACATCAGACACTCTACATGCCTGAATGACACAGTCAAACACAGAAAGATCCACAGACAAATGCAGAAACAGCCACAGACAGACAAACACAGAAAGATCCACAGACTGTCAAACAAATGCAGAAGCAGCCACAGACAGACAAACACAGAAAGATCCACAGACAGTCAAACAAATGCAGAAACAGCCACAGACAGACAAACACAGAAAGATCCACAGACAGTCAAACACATGCAGAAACAGGCACATACAAACACAAAAAAATCCACAGACAAACAACCGCAGAAACAGACACAAACAAACCCAGATTTTGTCAGTTATTCAATGTGTCTATAAGAATTCAATATGAACTATTAATATAACTAATTAAAATAATGGGTGCCTAAGAAAAACATTAAAATAACCAGGGGCCATTATATAAGGCACAAGCATAGTACACATCCCTCTTCTAACATTAAAAAGAAATGCATTGAATAAATACACTTCTGTTTAATAAATGGAAAATATGACTACTTGGTTATACACACACACACACTTACATATAGAAATAGAAATATATTGCATTACACAAATAATAGTATTAGAATATGTGTAATTCTAAAATAGACCTTTTATTCACATCAAATACTGAAAAAAATTTTAAAAAAATAGTCATCACAAACGTCTCTCTTTCTAATACATTACAATTCGGATGGTTTTATTTTATTTAATATTTTTGCACCTTTCATTTTTTATGTATTTTGATTTATAAAAAGTAATATTACATAAACACCTGATTGCAAATAATGTATAGACTTAATGTACTTATCACACCCAGGAAACAATTGAGCTAATTCATTAAATTATTTCTGCACAGAGCAAATTCTAATGAATGCAAAATAACTGCAAGAATTTAGAAAAATAAAGCCACATATATAATTTTGGTGTTTAATCACTAAACAGTCATTACTGGTGACTTGAGAATCGATTTGCAAAATACAGGCTGAATTTAAAATAAATAAATAAAACTATCCCAGATTGTTAAATATTTGAAGCTAGGCTATTGTAACCTAATTTTGCAAGTCGATTCAGCTCAGCACAGATTAGTGGATAGTCAATGTCCACTATGTAATCTTTAGAGCTGGTACCAATTGAGTCTGATATAAATAATTCTGAGCAGTTTTAAAATTATCACATCCATCGAAATCACAGATAGCTGTGATGCATAATTTGAAGGGGGAGGGAGCAGCTCAAATTGCATAATTTAATATGAATATTTCGAATAGGAGAGACAGAGGATAAGAGTTAGAGAGGAGTCGTGATGTGTTTGTCGAATAACACGCTTTGATATAAGTGGGCCAGAACATTCAGCAAGCGATTTGTTGTTATATCGGTGAACATATGATTTATGTTACACTCACACTAAATAAAATATATCACTAGCACACCAATTGCACTAATTCCTGAATAATAATGTATTCTTTGCGATGTAACAGGGGGTGTATAGATTATACAGTTATGGTGATTTTATTAACAAAGACACGGGTCTGTTGGTGATTAAGAAGCACCTCGTAACGTTGACATCAGCGCAGATCAGTTTGTGCATTATTTGTACGTATTATATCATATTCAGTTAGGGTTTCCATTAAATCCAGTTCGGTTATTGTGATTTAAAGTTTTTTGTTTTTTTTTACAGGGTGATGATCCTAATTTTCAGAAAGCGTTGATTGGATGGTATAGAAAATGGATTCTTAATATTTTGCTTTAAAATGTATACATTTAATATTACTAAAGCTCCTCGAAATAAAGTCAAAAATAAAATCTCATTGCCGAAAAATTATACGAGAAAAATTCATACTAAAATAAGAAAAATAAGAAAAAAATATTTATTTACTAAACTGTAAACTGTAACTCTGTATAAGTATCTATAAATATTGCCAAATGAATTCATTACATTTTGTGTGAGTATATGGTGTGTGTATGTGTGTATATAGATGTATATATACATACATACACCATATATATACATACATACATACACACACACACACCATATACTCGTACAAAAACATTATTACATATGTCGTGAATTAAATTGATGTGATATTCTATTTCCAATAGCATTAAATAAATAGTTGTACAAAGTACACACCATTATAACAATAGCACAAAGCTTTCTAAAGGAACTTGGGGAAATTGAGAAAGTGATTTTTTTTATTTTTTTTTATATCTGTTTCCTGGAATTTTAACATGCAGAACCCCTATACGCTCAGCGTTCAATGTGTACTTATTACATATAAATTATATATTAAATTGTTTGTATTGTTTACTTTAACAGAGGATGTGCATTAGCAGTACTTTTACACAAAATGGCATCTTCCTTACCCAGAGCAGCACGTACACACTGACTGAGGGCTTTCAAACGTGTGTGTGTGTGTGTGTGTGTGTGTGTGTGTGTGTGTGTGTGTGTGTGTGTGTGTGTGTGTGTGTGGAGAGAGAGAGAGGAGCACAGAAAAGAGAAAATTCTGAGAGAAAGAGAGAGATAAAGAAAATAAGGGAGAGATAGAGAAGGGGAGGAACAGAGTGAGAGATAAGGAGAGATTAAAGGAGAATTGAAGAGAGAGAGAGAGAGAGAGAGAGAGAGAGAGAAAGAAAGAAAGAAAGAAAGAAAGAAATGAGAAGGCAGAGTGAGAAGGGAGATATTCCTAAGAAATAATTGGCCGATTTATCAGGATTCATTTCAAACTGTACTCACTGAGAATGTGTTTGACTGGGGGCACAGCCTATCAGATTATTATTATTATTATTATTATTAGGTGATGAAATAAAAGTATTGTGCCCGCAGTGTCCAGGATGAGGCCAGACGAGGATCGAGGCTTTAGAACAATGCACATGACTTGGGGTGGAAGAACAGCCCAATTATGTGGGCACATTCCCAGTAACAGTACAGGTTGTGGTGTAAGAGATGGTCTCACTGTCAGCCTGACGCTCGATGCTGCTCTCCAAGGTGCTGCACAGACTGTGATCACACACACTATACACAGCCTTTCTATATCTAGAATTCATTTATTTATTACTGTGTTGTATTATCTCAGCAAGCACCCATGTATGAAAGGGAGGCTGGGAATCACTTCTAGAAACGTGTGGGGCCTGATCTGGTGTTTACATAAAACAATGGGCAATGGCTTTCCTTAAAATATTAAGGGGATAACAAGGCCTACTCGTCTGACATTGCAATACACGCAATACACTGGAATATTGTATAATACTATAAATAGTCTTATTATTCCAGTATTGTTTATGTTCTCCTCGTTTTCTTTGCTTATTGTTAGAGAGAGTGCTGTTGGAATGCTAAGATGGTGTGTGTGTGTGTGTGTGTGTGTGTGTGTGTCATACACACAGACACAAAGACACATTTAAACTAGTCTCTTGTTTTGGAAAATGAACTGCTATATATAAAAAAATGAAATTATATTTGGTAAGACATTCTTCAATGTCCTATATATAAGCTCTAGTTTAAGGGCCGAAATGTTTATATTTCATACATCTACAGGTTTGCAAACTGCCCTGGAATCCAGATCGATACAATGTTAAATATAGAGTGCATCTACCCCTATACCCCATCTCACACTGCAATATATATATCTATTTATGTTGTTTTTTTCACAATATTAAGAGGCATCCCAGGATAAATGTGGGGGCATTATAAAGTTATAAACTTTCAGGCTCATAAAAAAACCAAAATGTGAATTTTGAGCCGTACAGACGCTTTGTTCAGTAATAATCAGACCCCAGTGAAGGAGCCAGGATTAGGAAACTCTCTGTTACTGCACTTCTCGTTGTGTAATAATCAAGCGGTTTCCATTCTCTTGTGTGTGACGTCACTGTCTTTAATTAGGTGTTGCTATTTTTAGGCAGCCTATAGTAACCCCATTTATTCCTGGCCTCACGTGCCTGTTTAGCAATTGTGTGTCCCCCGCCTCTTATCTCCATAGAACATACTGAGAGTGTCAATCTGACAATATATCATATTAAGAGAAATATAGATCTTAGAAGGAAAGGGAAATCACAGGTTGCAAAATTAATGTAGGCTTTGCTTCCAATAAAAGTCATGCAATAATATTTAGTATGGAAATATTAATAAAAAGGTAATAAAAATCTACACTACCCCGTGAAAGCGATTTTGCAGTAATGATAGTAAAAATAGTAATAATAATATTAAAAATATATTCTAATGTAATGCAAACTGCTCTGGACCAGATAAGAAAACAAGAATGTCTATACATTACATTTACACAGTTTAACTTCATAATTGGAATCCTGTCTTACTATGACAGTTAGGCCTACCCTTCATGCTATAATTAAATCACCAACTTTCACTAAATCAAACCAAAATAAACCTTTAAAATCTCCCATCTAGCTCCATGGGACCCTCCTTGATGTTATGATTGGTGTGTATCTAATTGATGTTCTGGAATCACTAGTTAATAACAACCTCCAATACCTGACCCATTCATATAAGATGGGGAGGCTTGATACTGTTGCTATAGTATTATTGTTGGTATCGTTTATTCACCAATGATGGTATGATGCATACATGTGTCAATTATTTCAGTGTATTTGTGTGTCTAAATTAACTCTCGTGTCATATTATTTTACACTAAAGTTTGAAATGTTGTGGATAGATACACAGATAGATTAGAGGAGAGATATGAAAATTGTAGGTAGACAAGAATGAGAGAGAGAGAGAGAGAGATAGACACAGATAGATAGAGTGTAGATAGATAGATATAGATAGAGAGATAGATTGTAGATAGATAGATATAGATAGAGAGATAGATTGTAGATAGATCGATAGATGGATTGCAGATAGCTCAAACAAAGCTAAATGCATCAGTTTCTATTTGAAACAAACATCCTATTCGTTCTGCCTGTGTATGTGCTAAGCTATGTATAACTCGCTCTCTCCATACTGAGTTTAGAGAACTGGTTATGTTAGAAACCAGTGAGTCATTCACTAGCCACCCACTCTTTCCATTAACGTGTGATCTATCTGGCTGTTCCAGGGTCAGAACTAGAAAAAGCTCAAGAAAAAAAGATATATACATTCTATGTACAACTGCAGGCGTGAGGCCTTTAACCCACAATAGTCTGTCTTCTTTCAATCTTGGACCTTGCTGCTGGAGAACAGAGCGACCACTGCCTGGCCGGCCTTGTCAATCGTCTGGGGTCAACTGGTCAGGGCTTTAAACACGAGATTCCGTCACGTTCCACAGACATGTGCCACAAAAATAAATAGATCCAACTCCTCAACATCAGCAGCCATAATCCGCAGGAGTGTGGAGACAGCACTTCTTCCCGGGCAAGTTAACCCCTCTCTCACCCCTCCTCTCCCCACCCCCTCAGTGCCCCCCTGGCCTAAACTATGGTGGCATAGCAAGCACATAGCATTGTTTCTATGTTATCCTGGGTAATATGTCTGCAAGAGACAATGGGCTCACTTCTGGTGAATGACCCAGGGGGTGGGAGGCTCAGACAAGGAGCTGGGTCCAAACACAGGCAGCAAACACTTACAGCAAGCATGGATCTCCAGATCAGCAGCAATGGATGGATGGGGAGCAGGAGGCAAGCTGGTAGGATGTCTCCTGGAGGAAGGAAGCAGGGGAGAGATGTGATCATCCAGCCAGGCTGTAGCTCCCTGATTTGCTGTCCCAGTGATGGCAAGGTCCAGGTCTCTGATGTGATTCTATAAAGGATTTTTTTTTTTTTGCCCCCCCAAAGCATGGCACCTGGCTGGGGCTCAGCCCTCCTCTCCTTCCTGCTAGTCTAAGGCTGTGCTGGTGTTTCTGGAGCTGTCTCTGCTAGCAGGCTGAGTCCGCAGTGACGTCACCGCAGCAGCATCTTGCATTCTCCAACCATTGCAGAGAGGAGGGTGGTGGAGGGAGGGGGGTGGAGAGGAGGGGGAGGGCGGGATATGAGGGGGGTGAAGGGTAGAAAATAGAGGGAAAGAGGAGAAGATGGAGAGAAAAAAAGAGGGAGAGGGGAAGAGAGAGTGAAGGGTGGGGTGGTATCAGCCTCCACCAACTGGCATTCCATTCTACAAAACCTTAGCCTTTAATTAACACTATAAACCATCTCAATTATATCCTCATAATTCTGAACCCAACAAGATATGCAAAGCTGCTGCATGTTCTATTTTTTTTTTCTACTTCCATATTCAATATGGCTTTTTTTTTTATGCTCAAAATCACGTTTCAGTGCTTGAGATTCATATCAGAATGACACTGAATGGTTTGTTTTTTTTCTATTCTCACCAATTTCTCATGCAGATTTCAAAACAAATGAGAATAATTACTGGATCACATACAGTTAAATCCC